ACACTCACTAAAAGAGAAGAAACGTTGTTAGCCACCTTCGAAAGAAAAATCTTGTGACACATATGTAAGGGCACAAAAGAAAACGGAAATGGCGAAGAAGATACAACTTTGAACTATACAAAATATACCAAGATTCGGATATTATAACATTCATTAAAATAGGACTGCTGCGTTGGATAGGACATGTAGAAAGAATGGAAGAAGGCGAAATACCAAACAAAATATTCACAGATGCCAGAAAGAAAAAAGAACAAAAGGAAGACCGAAGCTGAGATACTTAGAACAAATAGAAAATGATATAACAACCTTAAAAATAAAAAAACTGGAGAAAAAAAAGCACGAAACAGATCAGAATGGAGAAGAATCCTGGAACAGGTCAAGACCCAAAAAGGTTTGTCGAGCCAGTGATGATGATGATGATGAGTGATTTCACTAATGTTTCATATGGTGAGTGATTATAGAGAAACACCTAGTTATTGGAAGTGACTTTTCCTTCCTCTTCTTTTTTAAGTTCTCCGTTTCCGTTTTTAAGTTCTTGTTCCTTTGTTACTCTGATTGTTCTCCTAATTTGGTTGTTGATGAGATTATATATGTTTATATCATTACATATTGTGGTCTTTCTTTCAGTTCAGGAATCATTCTTTTTGTCTATAAGTATTTGTTTCTTAACAGTTTTAGCGATACTGACTATTTTTTCTTCAACTCATTATCTGGGTTTTATATCACGTAGTGAGCATATTAATGACTTACTAATAATTCTTACCTTTGGATCATTGATCTTTTTTCTATCAGAAGGAGTTGTGTTTTCTTTTTAGTTTATGTCAAGGTACTCAAAATTTCTACTAACAAATTATGATCAGAGGTTATATCCGCCACCAGGTGCAGTGGCGTAACTAGAATTTTCTGGTGGGGGGGTTTCGTTGGGCACCGAATTTTTTTTATGCTACCATTTTCAGTCCTTAAAATTTGTGAGTAATAGTGTCGCAATAGTGCACTATGGGGGGGAGGGGGTTAACCCCCCTGGGTGCGCCACTGACCGGGTGTGATTTTATAGCCAATATATTCTTATAAATTATGGATGTGCGCAAGCACACAAGTTAGAAATAGATTAGCAATTGGCGAGAAATAATATTCACCGCTACGATCAGGAATCAAGAAAAAGGAGTGCCAATTCCGAATAAAAAGGGTCGATTTTAAACGAGCCCACGAAATATGCTAAAATCTAAAAAACAATTTGGCCAATGCGAACTTTTTTTTATGTACGCAAGTATTGAAATTTCTTATACTATAAATATATAAATAATAAATTATTAAAAACGTAATAAAATATTTCAAGTAAATAACATAATGTAAATATTTACTAAGTAACCTCCATCACCGGATGAAATAGGGGGTAATCAGAGGAGGTTAGTGGAAGTATCACACTACTATAGGGTGACTAGACCTCCAATTTTCCCTTAAATATCACTTTGTTATAGACGTCGTTTTTAGAAAAACTTTATATTTCCGAAAATTTGAATATATATATATATATATATATATATATATATATATATATATATATATATATATATATACAGTGTAGGAAAAAGTTTATGGTCGGTATGGACCTTACGTGAGAAACAGCTGTTTAAAAAGACAAAGGTATATTAGGTTCGCCCTTTATATCACCGAACATGCATGCGTAGATATAATAAAAAAGGGGAAGTTCAAAGTTGCCAAACCTATTGGTTTTATTTGACCTTTTGTCTTTTTAGCATTTGAACAATGTTCTGAGATAATCAAATTTGGGCGAAATGGATTTAAATGGCGGCTTACTGTTTTTTATTTTGCGGTCACAAGTTTACTTTACAATAAGTGTAATATAACATTTTGATTTCCACATCGGAAATCGTTTTATATAAATAAAATTGATTGTTTCGTATTTTAAGTACGATTTCCGAATTAAAAATCTAAACATCAAAATAAGCTTATTTTAAAGTCCATTGTGCCTTATTCCCAATATGAAATAATAAACTGCAAACAATAACGCCACATTAAAAAATCTTCATACACAATAATTATTTGGCAAAGTCTGTCTGGGTCAAAGCACCGAATCAAAGTAGGGTAACGAGTAGTAGAGGTGGGTTTTTATCGTCAAGAGCGTAAGCCCAAAATTTCGGGCCAATGCTTTTTAAATGCATTCATTTTTTTCGAATCCTGAGAAAACTAATAAATATTTTTGAAAAATTAAACGCAGAATGAAAAAATACATTATTACCGAGGGCCAAGGTACTCAAGCTTACGTTGTTTAATTAAATTAAGCACTTCTTTTTCTTTTGTCATGCGCTGTATATCCTCAACGTTGGTGACATGGTCCACATAAGATATTTTTAGTATCCTTCTGTATATCTACATCTCGAAGGCTTCGATTCGTTTTTCAGTGGCTTGCGTCAGTGTCCAGGCTTCAACTCCATATAGTAACACTGGAAGGACGTAGCACCTCACTATCCGCATCTTGGTTCCCAAATTGAGATCACTGCAGCACAGCAAGGATCTCAACTTAATAAATGTAGACCGTGCCATTTCAATTCTGGATCTAATCTCTTGAGCGTAGTCCCATTGTGAGTTGAGGGTAGTTCCGAGGTAAGTGAATCTGTCGACTCTCTGGATCTCTTCGCTACCTGCCATTAGTGCCCCGGGATTTAAATTTGTACGGCTGACAACCATGAATTTAGTTTTCTTAATATTAAGGTTCAGTCCGTATGTTACGCTCACAGTTCGCACCGGTCTAGTAAGGCCTGCAGATCGTTTAGGCTGGTTGCTAGTAACACAGTGCCATCGGCGTAGCGGATATTATTGATGTATTCACCGTTCACTCGGATTCCCATCTCTAGGTTTGTGAGGGCTTCAGTAAAAATTTCCTCAGAGTATATATTGAAAAGAGTCGGCGATAGCACACAGCCTTGCCTTACTCCTCGCATGATCTTCACTTGGTCGATCAGCTGGTCTTCGACCTTGACTTGAGCACGCTGGTTCCAGTATAAATTCATGATGATCCGAATGTCCTTCTCATCCAATCCTACTCTTTGTAGGGCGGTGACCATCTTCTGGTGCTGACAACGGTCAAATGCCTTGGCGTAGTCAATAAAACAAATATAGACATCACAACTGACATCGCGGCATCTCTGAAGTAGGACTTGTAAGGTGAAAAGTGCTTCACGTGTACCCATGGAATTGCGGAATCCGAATTGCATTTCAGCGACATATTCTTTGCATTTCTTGTAAATTCTGGCATGTATGATTTTAAGAAAAATTTTAAGTGCATGACTCATAAGACTGATAGTTCGGAAATCTTCGCACGTTTTCGCAGATTTTTTTTTTTTTTGGTAGCGTTACAAATGTTGACAATAGCCTTTCCTCTGGGATATTACCTGAATCGTATATGGCGTTGAACAGTTCAGTTAAGATTCCTTTGTGCTCAATTCACTCATCACCTTAATAAGTTCAACGGGTATTTCATCCGGACATGTGGCCTTACCATTCTTAGACTGTTTTAAAGCAGCCTTTACCTCGTTTTCTAGAATTGACGGCCCTGTCATGCAATTTATTTCCGGAAGGTTGCCTCGGTCGTCCCAGAAAAGTTCTTCGATATATGTTTTCCAGGTAACCAACTTCTCATTCACTGTCGTCGGCAGATTACCGTCTTTATTTATGAGGAGGTGTGTGTTTCTCCTCTTGCATTGACCAGTGGCTTCACGAATCTTTCGGTGGATATTTATATGATCGTGTTTCTCTTGGAGTTCCTCGATTAGTTTACATTTTTCTTGCATCCATAGCTCTTCGTATTTCTTTTTTAATCGTCTGGTTGATTACTTGGTATTTATTCGCGTCCTTGTTTTTCATTAATCTTCTTTGTTCCATCATCCGCAGAATTTCATCAGTCATCCATTCTTTATTTTTTACTCTTTTTTTCTTTCCCAGATTTTCTTTTCCCGCATTCAGCATGACGTCTTTGATATAGCTCCATTTTTGTTCTACACTCTGTTCTTGTTGTTGAGCCGTTTCTAGTTTTTGTCTCATTGCATCTCTCACATTCTGACGAACTACGGGGTCTTTTAGAGTGTCATAATCCAGGTTCTGTTTAGGTTTATTTTTGATGAGTTTCTTTAGTTTGAGTTCTATCTGGCCCACTAATGGGTTGTGGTCCGATGAGACGTCTGCTCCTGGGAAGGTCTTCACCGAAGTCAAGCTGTTCTTGAATCTTCTGTTAATGAGAATAAAGTCTATCTGGTTTCTGATGATATTGCTGGCTGTATCTGCAGGTGACTTCCACGTATAAAGTCGTCTCGGGGGGAATTTAAACCACGTGTTAGCAATGGTAACATCTTCTCCCGGCAAAATTGTATGAGTCGGTCTCCTCTTTCGTTTTTCTCGCCTAAGCCGTGTTGTCCGACGATGTCTTCTACACGGCTTTTGCCAACTTTGGCATTGAAATCATCCATTACGATGGTTAGCTCGTTCTTCTTGGTGTATTTTAGTGCTTTTTGTACTATTGCGTAGAACTCCTCGATATCCTCTTCTGGTTTTTCTGTCCATTACAGTGGTTGAAAAACCATCGCCATGTATATCCTAACTTCATCGCCACTATATTCATAAAATATTGTAATATTGTAAAAAAATCTGTTCCTTGTGAACACATATTCAAAATCTGGTTTAATTTTAAATAAAAGAAGAATACAGTTAACAAGAAAAGTGGAAAAACTTATGTTTTTAAATGTCAATTTAGACGATTCGCGATTTAATAATGTCTAATGTAAGTACTATTTACTATTTGTATTGTTTAATTTATTTTTCGTTATAATAAATATATCCTTCGTTAGTTTCTTTCACTTCAATACTTATACACATAAACGATAATAGCCAATATGTTTGTTTGTGTACTCGCTTATTTGAAACAATCAATTAGTTATTAGTTTACGAAAAACGGTTCTGATAAAAATGTCAATGACCCACCTCTAGTTTTTAAGGTATATTAGGATCGGAACCAGAGATATGTAAAATATCTCTGATCGGAACTAATCGTCTCACTAATGGGCAATAGGCGTCTATTAGAAATATGGAGGGGAGACCCAACTATGATTTTATATCTGTGTTAGATATCCTGTTCAATTTTACCATACCGACCATAAACTTTTACCTACACTGTATAATACAAACAGGAATCTAACGTCGTTTTGTTTTGTTAAATAATTGCACTAATGTCAAGAGTTGGATAGCTTAACAAGCTCGTACACTCACTTCAGTGTAAGTAAGTATCTTTTAGATGGGTCCTTGATTTACTTGACAACACTCCAGCCAAAAATATTTAAACGTCGGCGTCGGTCGTATAATAAAATCAAAAGTGGATCTGATTGATTAAAAAGAAATTCCCGAGTGAATTTAATCGGATGAGTAGTACGGTAGGAAATGAAGCGTTTTTGGACGATGACGATTCTTTTGGTTCTTTGATTTCTACTGAAAGGGTCTAAGACGCTCAAAAACCGAAACAAACACACGTCAACAGTTATATAAAAAATTAGTCACGCCTAGTACCTATCGAATCATAGTTTTTAATATCGTTTGATTATGAATCTTATCGAAACGTTATTATTGTACTTCCTATCGAATGAGGGCTCTGGATGTGATTTACAGCTACTTCAATGTCTTGAGGTTGATAGATTTTATCTACTACTGTTTGTACGTATCCATCTTCTACTAATTCAGAGAGTCTGTCTAATGTTACGCTACACAAGTGAGTCTCATCATATGTATTGATTGGTAGGCCAAGAAGATTCTGAAATGTAAAAACAAGAATTTAGAACATAATCAACTGAATTGGAGTGAAATAAATTTTCTAAATATGATCTAATTATATTGAATTCACGGGATGGAAAGGATAGAAAGCGACTTATACGGTACACAAAAACAAATATGTAGATTTATAACAAATCAACGACAAAAAATGGCAGAATTGAAGGAATACAATAACGTACCAGCAAACGAATGGGAAATATACCTGACGGAACTGTTTAAAGGAAAAGAAAATAATAATAAACACAATAACGTACCTGAATTAAGACACGTAATAGAAATCAGTTTTTAGGAACTAGAGATAGCCATAAATTCACTCAAAAATCAAAAGTCACCAGGACCAGACGGAATAACCAACAAGCTTCTAAAACACGAAGGAGAAAGTATAACTCTAGAGATAACAAAACTTATACAAAAACTAATATACCAGACTCATGGAGAAACAGCATAATGATACCAATGTTCAAGAAAGGAGATAAAGAAGATCCCAACAAGTCATCATCATCAATGGTGCTACAGCCTCGACCTTCCCAAGTCTATTACGCCAGGCAGTCCTATCCATTGCCAACCGTTGCCAGTTTGCTGCGCCTATCTTTCTACCATCCTCATCTACACCATCCTTCCATCTGAGTTTTGGCCTACCCCTTTTTCTACTTCCCACGGGTTGTGACATAAGGATTCTTCTAGGACGGTTGTTCTGCTGTGATCTTGCTAGATGTCCTGCCCATCTTAGTCTTCCTATTCTTATAAGAGATACTACGTTTTTACCACCAAATATTTGTTTACATCTGTGGTATACCTCGTAGTTGTATCTCCTCCTCCAAACACCATTTTCACAGATGCCACCAAATATTCCTCTCAGGATCCTTCGTTCAAATATAAGCAAAAGATCTTCGTCTGCCTTGGAGATGGTCCATTTCTCCGATCCATATGTCAACACTGGCTGTATAAGGGTTTTGTATATAGTTATTTTTGTTTTTTGGCTTAAGTTTCTACTTCTCATATGACTACTCAGTCCAAAATAGCATCTGTTTACCATTATTATCCTTCGCTTGATTTCTTCCGTTATGGCGTTCTCTTTGGTGATCAGGGAGCCTAAGTATGTGAATTTGTCAACCACTTCAAAGGTAGAGTTATCAACCGTGAATTGGGGACCGATGTTCCTGACTCTATTGTTGGGTGTTGATGCAGACCCCAACAAGTATATACGTATAAATCTACCGAATACCACTTAAGCTTACCACAAAAGTCCTAACCAACAAAATCAATAAACTAACTGCTTTATCCCATCAACAAGAAGGATTCAGATCCGGAAGATCCTGTGTAGACGCCGTATTTGTACTGAGACAAATTACAGAAACGACCATCGAGTACAACAAACCAGCATATATATGTTTTATAGAATTGACAAAGGTTTTCGATAGCATCCAAGTCGAAGACGACTTACACCTGTATAAAAGACACATCAATCAATATTATACAAACCATCGAAAACATCTACTTCCTTAATCGAATACAGGCAAAGATAAATGGAAAACTAACACAGTGTATTCAAGTACAAAGCGGAGTCAGACAGGGTGACTCGTTAAGCCCACTTCTCTTTAATATAATAATGGACGAAATAATACAAGCAGTACTTAAAGGGCAAGGTTACAGAATGGAGAACAAAGAAATCAGAATATTATGTTATGCAGACGACGCCGCATTATCTCCGAGATAGAAGACGAGCTCCAAAGATTAACACACATCTTCAATACAACAGCCAAGAAATACAATATGATAATATCAGCAGAAAAAACCTAATGTATGACAACATCTAACTGCCCATTACGATGTAAAATCGAAATTGATTAAAAAATAATAAAGCAGGAAGCAAGGTGTAGATATCTTGGAATAGATATAAATAGTTACGGAGATGTTAAAGAAGTATGACAACAAAGCTTAAAAGCAAGTAAAGCGGCGAGATCTCTTAATGACATAATCTGGAAGAACAAACCTAAGACAAGACACAAAAACAAGAATCTATAAAGCAGCAATTAGACTTAGAGAGAGAAGCGAAAACATAAGAAGAGCATGCAATATATAAGACATAAATGGATGGGTGACTAAACGGAAACACATTAGTAGAATGGCAGAGGATAGTACAGTACGAATAGCACGAGATGCGAATGCGCCAATTGAACGAGGAAGTATTGACAGACCAAGAAAAAACTGGTGCGAGAATTTAAACAATTTAGGAGGCTAATATTGAAGAAAAAAAACAGGCTTTAATGCCTACATACAAGAAGGAAGAAGAAGAAGACGATATTGGGTTTACTACAAGTTATGACCCCCTAAGAATATTATTACACGCTATGACAAATTAGATATAACCTTTATCTTTGTTATTAAAGTAGTAAGGCTTCTAAAGTTACTAAGGGGTTTTGAGAACGGCTCAGTATTCTCTAACTGCAGTTAACATACAGTGCGTTAAGTTTTGGATTAGGTATACACTCTATAAATGGCAACACTGCGCGTCGTCGACTTGCCACTGCCACTACATATCTGCTTCGTTGACTCGTCGTTGCTCGTCGCCCGTCGGCAAATTTGTCATATTGTCATTATACCGTGGTTGTTTAAAGGTATAACAGCGTAGAGTTTTAATTTATTTTTGTAAACATGTCTGTTTATATGGCCGCGGAAAAAGCTCAAATAATAAAATGGTTTTATAGTGGCGATTCTGCGCAATAGTGTGTAGATTTATTTTCTGTGTTTTTTGAGGGAAGACCAATTCCTTGTGTACAGTAAATTTATAATATTGTTAAAAATTTTGAGAGTTGTTATTGCCTCAAAAATTGCAGAAAATGTCACGCTCAAGAAGTGTTACCAGAAAAAGAATTTTAAATATTCGAAAACGCAGCAGCTTTATCCAGACGATTACTTTCGAAGAATGGAGTTTTGTGAAACTCTAATAACGAAGGCTAATAGTGAACCAAATTTTATTAAAAACATTTTATTCACTGATGAATCTTCTGTTTCGTTAGTAGGGAGACACAATCCTTCCATTACGAGGTATTGGGCGCGGGAAAACCAGCACAGAAGTGTTGTTTACCGAACTCAACGTCCTCAAAAAGTTAACGTCTGGACTGGCATTTTAGGAGACCACATAATAGGTCCATTTTTTATTGAGGGCAACTTGAATAGTAGAGTATACCTCGATTTTTTACAGAATCATGTTCTTCCCGCTATTCTCAATCTTCCTGATGTAAATCTGGAGAATGTTTAGTTTCATCAAGACGGCTGTTCAGTTCACAACGCTCGAATTATTAGGGAGTATTTAAATAATACTTTCCCGAATCGAGTTATCAGTGGAACTGGCGATATTAAGTGGCCTGCGCGATCTCCAGATCTTACACCCATGGACTTCTTTTTTTTTGAGGACATTTAAAAAGCATTATCTACGATCATCCTGAGGCTAGAGCCCAAAATTTGGATGAATTAAAAAATCGAATAAGAGAAGTCTCCAATTCTGTTACAGCAGAAACTCTTTCATCTGTTCGCAGAAGTTTTTATGACAGATTGGGGTACTGTTCAGCCGTATAAGGTCAACTGTTTGAACCATTTCTGTAGGTCATAAAGAATTATTTTTTATTTTATTAGGAATAATATTTTAATTTTCAATAAGAGTATATTTTTTATTTTATCTTTTTAAAGAAATACGCTTTTATTTTTAATTCAACCACAAAAAAATTTTCACATTAATAAAAATCGATAACAATGCACCGATTAGGTCAGTGCATTTTTATCGAATTTCCTACTATTAAAATCGGCTATACGTAATGAAACATGAGATCGGACGACAGAGAAATACATCCCAAACGTTGTTGTGAGTTACTAAACTAAAATGATTTTCTGTCGGTGCAGATAGTCTCGGGTCGGAGAACGAACATTTGCAACGTTGCCGAGTTTAGCGCTCCGTATAGTGTGCAATACCTAATCAAAAACTTAACGCACTGTATATGTACATTTACCAATGAAACACCTTGTATTGGAGGCTAAGAAAAATAGAGACGGGAACAAATTATCTGAACAGTTCCAAAATACCAATTGAAGTAGTGCAAAGGCCCCAACGTTAAAAAAAATACATGTAAAACAACATAGTATTGCTGATATCTAGTAATTAAAACAAAAAGAACACATTGAAGAAAACTAAGAATTATTATTTGATCTTGGGCCTGTTTTAATTTGAGATAAGTAACAAAAAATATGATCAACCATGGAAGTAAAATTTAATACCTTACCTGTAATTTGTATCTCATATTTATATATAAACAGAGTAAAAATCTACGAAAAACTCCGTAAGTGTCAGAATCAATTACAGGTGGCAGCGTTGATATAAAGGCACCATCAGTCTTAAGATAAATACTCAGTTCTTCTTTGGAACACTCGCATTCAATTCCCGTTCTGAAGATTACATCAAAAGTTTCATTTCTAAAAAAAATAAATAGAATCACAACGCGTTAAAAATAGAGGTCTAAAATTTAACAATTTTATACAATGTCTAATATGTATAATGAAATAGTTAAAAATATACCAGAAACCCAACACTTTTGGAATCATAGTCTTTAAGCATTCATTAAACAGTTCGCTTACTGATTTTAGTAAAATTTCTTGTGCTTTTATTTCCTTACTAACCAATCCATTATCACCAGATGACCAATTGTTCTTCATTTCCTTTAAAGCTGCTAATATTTCTGACACTTGGGTAATAGTTAAAATACATCAGATCTCTGATTTATGAGAGTGCCTACTTATGTCGGGAAACTGACTTATGTGTTTGGCTGAAACAGAGGTCTTTATAAAACTCTCTTTCTTTTTCAGAATGTCCAGAATGTTGCCTTTCCGTCTTTGTCTCTCAGCTTGTATTTTTCTTTTTTACTCTGAGTTCTCATTATCTTTAAACCTTTGTTTTTTTTCTACTTTTTGAATAATTACATTAATATTATATTGATCTTTTATAATTTCTGCTGAAATTATTTTAGTTAGTTCTCTATATTCTACGTAGTTTCCCTTTTCTTCTCCGCTTAGGTTTCGTCGTATTTCCATTGGAACTTTTGTATATTTGCTAATCTTTTCGGTTTGGGGTCATTTTTCTTGAAAAAGTTGAGTTGTGTTTATGCGTCTATATGACTATGCGGTTGCAACTGTTTATCATCTTTGCTCTTTCTTTTTGTAGGTTTATCGTTACTCTAGCTCTTACTGGTCTGTGATCGCTTTCGACTGACCGTTTGCCAATAAACTGAGCATGATTTAAGTATTTTTATATCGAGTCAATTTTAACGTTTCTTGAATTGTTTATTGTAGTATTGTAGATGTGTCGAAATGCCATACGCTAAATAAATAACTGATAGTTTATTGAGTACAGTTATATCTTGAACTACAGTAGGGCCTCGCTAATCCGGACTTCTTCTTGTCCAGTGATCGCTGTAATTCGGCTGGGCAATGGGGTTCGCGTACGGGTTTAGATGCGAGGACTGCCGTGAGCCAGCCTGTCGTCAGTCTTTTGTCGCCTTTATAGATAGATAGATAGATAGATATATAGAATTGATTCATCCACAAAGTTTACACAATTCTTACAAAACAAAAAATGTATAAATCTTATCGGACTAGTCAAAATTTTAGTACAAAAAAGTACAATATATAGCAAAAGTACACATGATTAAAATAAAACAGTGATTACAATAAAATAAATCAAAGTTACAAATACAAGTTTACAAAAAGAAATTTAGATTGTTGCAAAAATGTTAAAAATTTAAAAATCCATCAACACTGTAGAATGTGTTGTCCATTAAAAATGAATACACCATGGACGTATAAACAAAGACGTCCATGGAATACACAGTTTGGCGAAAACCTTTATGTGAAGAATTACTGAGAGTTAATATATTGACTATTTTATTGTAACATTTTATTCCAATATATTCAGGTGCATGTTGGGATATCCCTAATCTAGAGAAAGGTTGTCGAAAATTTGATTTACCCCTAGTATCATGTGAGTGAATGTCCTCATTTCTGTCAAACTTGAGCTTGTTTTCCTCAATGTGTAATATTAATTCGAAAATTTAAAGGCTAGGTAGTGTTAAAATATTAGACTTCTTAAATAGTGGCTTACAACTATCTTAAAATGGAACATCATACATACTTCTTAAAACTTTCTTTTGAGCTATAAATGCCCGTTCAAAATGAGATGAGCAACCCCAAAATATTACTCATTAAAGCCACAATGGATGAAACTCAGGCATGTGTACGAATACAAAACAACCGGACAGACTTTTTCAAAATCTCGCAGGGACTAAAGCAGGGAGATGGGCTGGCACCAACATTGTTTAACCTGGCACTGGAGTATGCGGTTAGGCAAATTCAAACTGGACGAGAAAACCTACTGACCAATAAAACGGTTCAACTGGCTGCCTACGCCGATGATATTAATATTATGAGTAGAACATCAACAGGAGTACAGGAAGCATACGCAGAGTTAAAAACACAAACGAAAAGGCTAGGTCTGGAAATTAACACAGAAAAAAACAAAAATAATGGTACAGACGAGAAGAAATATAATCCCACAAAACATTATACATGAAGATGACATTGAAACGTTTGGAAAGTTTACATACCTGGGAGTAGAAATACATGCCGATGGAGCAGAGGATGGAGAAATACGAAAAAGGATAACGCAGGCAAACAAAGCTTATTTTGCCCTCTCCCATATATTTCGGTCTAAAAGTGTCCACCGAAATACAAAGATGAGAATCTATAAAACTTTAATTCGGCCAATAGCATGTTATGGCAGCGAAGCATGGGTCCTGAAAGAAACATCCAAAAACAAACTCGACACATTCGAAAGAAAAGTACTGAGGAGAATACTAGGACCTGTGAGGGAAAACGGAATCTTCAGAATTCGATATAACAACGAGCTCTATCAACTGTATAAGGAAACACCCCTGTCAGACTTCATTAGAATACAAAGATTGCAATGGGCCGGACATGTGATACGAATGGGAGAGGATAGGCTACCAAAACGAGCACTGAACGCCAGAATGCAGGGAAAGAGACCAGTTGGAAAGCCAAGAAAGCGCTGGGAAGACACAGTAAGCAGCGACGCACAAGCACTTTTAGGAGTCCGTGTATGGAGAAGAGCAGCCACAGACAGACAAGGGTGGAGGCAAAAAATAAAGGAGGCCAAGGCTCATTTTGGGCTGTAGTGCCGTAGAAGAAGAAGAAGAACCCCAAAATATTAAGGCATACTGAAGTACAGACTTGACTAAACTAAAGTAAATCATTCGCAATATATCAAATGAGACAGTTTCTCTTAAATTACGCATTATATAGCTACATGTACTTAACTATGCTGATACATGATTTACGTGAGTTTCCCATGTAAGTTTATGATCTAGGGTTACCCCCAAAAATTTCGTTTGTAGTATAACTTTCTACTGATTTGCCATCCACATGTAAATAAAAGTCAGAATTTGGAGTTAAGTTTTTTGGTAAGAAACGCATAAAATGTGTTTTTGTTACGTTGAGCTTGAGTCCATTATTTTTACAATATGTGCTAAATTCAGCAGACACAACATTGATATTTTCCATCAGTTGTATGAGTTCACTGTGAGACATGAGAATGTTGGTATCATCAGCATATTGAACAATTTTATCTGGCATGAAACAAAACGTGTTTAGGTCACTTACAAATATAATGAAAAATAAAGGCCCAAGTATTGAGCCTTGAGGTACGCCCATCGTACATTGAAGTGGCCTCGACGTTACATTTTCCACTGTGACTACTTGAGTTCTATTATTTAGATAAGATAGGGCCCAATTGTACGGTATACCACGTACTCCAATACCCTGCAATTTTTGTAGTAAGAGTTCACGATCAAGCGTATCAAATGCACGACTAAGGTCATAAAAAAGACCCAACACATTTAAGTTATCATTTAATGCTTTATAAATAAATTGAAGACAGTCAGAAATAGCGGTATTTGTATATTTCTTTTTTCTAAACCCGTTTTGAATAACAGGAAGAATTTTAAAATGTTCTAAATAATCTTTGCATAGGCTGCTTCAAATATTTTGAGAACTGACTTGACACACAAATCAGTCTATAGTTTGCAATATCCGTTGCAGATCCTTTATTTTTAAAATTAGGGATTCCTTTCGATTTCTTTATATCTGGAAATATTCCGCATGTAAATGATTCATTTATGGATAAGATAGTAGAATTTCGTCTACCCCTGCAGCTGTTTTAGAAGCAGTTTTTAATACAATAGATATAACTTCTTTTTCAGTGGTTGGTGATAAAAAGAAACTTGAATTGAATTGGTTAATTTGTGTGGTACGGTTAACAACTGATAGTTCATTATTTTTTACAGCATTAATAAAATAATTGTTGATTTGATCAGCTTTATGATAATTTTGTAAGTCACCGTTGTTACTAAAAGATATTAAATTTTGATTTGATTGATAGTTTTAATTGTTGGTACAATGTCAATTTAGCGCGCTCGCTAACACTATGGCACCTCCACGTACACATTCAACATTAACAATAAAATATAATAAGTAATATAATAATAAAATATTAACAATAAAAATCTTAAAGTTTGTAAGCCTAACAGAACGTGGTCCCGGTGTACGAAAAACACTGAAGAAATCGGAAAATTCCATTTTAGAAGATGTTTTGTTTACGTGGTTTTTGCAATAAAGACGATTACATGTTCCTGTAAGTGGTGATATATGTGAGAAAACTCAAGTTTTTTTATCGCCAGATTACAAACTCCAATATCGAGTTTAATGCGAGCCAGAGATGGTTAGACACATTTAAAAAATGCCACAAAATACGAGTTTAAAAATGGCCGACGAAAAACTATCCAACGATGAATCCGTTATCGGACCATTTCAACTAGAGTTACAGAAAATTATTAGAGAAAAAATAAATAACAGCGGAACAAGTGTACAATGCTGACGAATCTGGTTTGTACTGGCGATCATTGCCCGATCATACGTTAGCCTCCGCCAATGAAAAATCAGCTTCCAGAAGGAAAATGATGAAGATGAGAGTGACATTCATGCCTTGTGCAAATGGGGCTGGAATCCATAAATTTCAATTATTGCTTGTTGTTGGAAAATCAAAAAACCCATGGGCATTTAAATCAGCACGTCTTCCTGCTTGTTGTGGTTTAAAATGGAATTTGTTCGCGCATTGCCTCCTCGGGCATTTTTATATAATAGATAATTGTCCTGGGCATCCATCAGCAGATGAACTTATCTCTGAAGACAGCACCATTTTGCAATGTTCCTGCCAGTTAACACAACAGCCTGTACACAACCAATGGATCAGAACGTTATACAAAATGTGAAGTTAAATTATCCTAAATCACTTTTGGTTAACTGTCTTGCAATATGTTCTGACAACCTCATCGACACATTAAAATCGATATCTTTAAAGGACACTGTTTTTCTTTTTGCCAATTTCTGGGCCGATGTCAAGGCATCTCTAATTAACAAATCATGAAAGAATTTGCACCTTGAATTTCTCACTGATAATGATGAACCAGAAGATGATGTTCCCTTAGCCCAGATTTTTAATAGGTTGAGGGACCCAATGATCCTTAAATAAGTGAGGCAAAAGCTCAAGAAGGGGCTGCTGATGGTGCCGAGAGTCAGATACAAAGATATAAAGTGTTAACTGATGAGGAGATTGTGCGAGCAGCTATGCGTGAGGACGATGAGCAAGGGGAGGACAATAGCGTTGAAGTTCTCGCCTCAGAAAAAGTTAGTAGTTCAGAGGCAGTAGAAGCTTTCAACACAGCTGTAAAATGGGCTGAAAAAAACGAATTGGTTTTATGTGAACTCAATGTTTTTCTTACATGGTTGTAATTTTGAATTTTTGCATTTGTGTTTCTTTATACATACTGTAATTTTTTAAACAATAAACATTAAATTTTCAATTTCTAGCCTGTCAAATATTATGTAAAATTTAAAAACGAAACTTTTACCTTTTATAATTTTTTTGTAGGAGTAATATTTCTCAAAATATTAGCGCAAACAGCAAAAATTTTCGATTTTTTTTTCAGATTTTATTAAATAAAAAAAAATAAGCACGATGTTTGCGACTGATCGTGATTATTAATGCAAGGTACATACACTATGGTAATAAAAAAAGATAAAATAAAAATTCTACCAAAAATTATTTAAATTCTACAGAACTTACCTGCTTTCCAACTGTTCTAAAAAAGCTTTATTTTGTTCTTGACGATTATTATCAGGTACAAATTTGTCAGAAGGTGTCAATACTTCACAAATGACGATTATGTCTGTAGCTCCTAATGCTCTAACTACTGGCAGTGCTCTCCTGTAACAGGTTGCAGTTACTGACGCTTTCCATTGAGAAAGAAGTTGAATGAGAACACATCCCACAGGTGTACATCCTCCTTCTACTAGAATCCTGAAAATATTTTAATAAGATAATTGATTAGGAGTTTGACTGTATTTGAAGTCAATTTACCGTTTTCCTTCAGCATTCATGGCATCTAATCTGGCTTCCACTAAAGCTGATAATGCTAAACTACCCGCATATGGAAGACTACATGCTCCTTCGAATCCAACATTCTTTGGTTTTCTTCCAATTCTATTTTCTTGGATTAATATCGATTGGCACAAAGTACCTTGTGCCCAGAAAGGAACTGTTAACCACACTTCATCGCCTACTTCTAATTTGGTCACCTTTGAGCCTATGTCTGTCACAATACCAGTGCAATCTCTACCTAAGATGATAGGTAAATCTTTACTTGACTGCTAAAAATTGGCAAATAAAAAATTGGTATACTGAATATATAATCTCAAATTTTTCTTTAAAATCATTAAAATTTTGAAACATTTGTGAGATAGAACAATTTTTGTTGGAGACATACAATTTAAATACAAATTGCAAATATTTTTGTTTTTCCTGTTTTCCATTGATAAGTAGTCTGAAAAATGTATATCACAAATTTTTCAACCCACATACACATTCATATTTTTCCCACTTTGTTAACCTGCAATCTATGATTGAATAACCATAAGAGAGTATGTAATTGAGATCATGTGACCTCATTAACGCAACTTCCTCATTAACGCAACTTCCTCATTTTATGTTCTCTACACATTACCATTTGGATTTTGAGAATAATATCTAACATTTTATCTTGATTATTTGTAAAAATTATGTATCATAATTCAAATAATTGTACACAAGCTATCAGGGAACATCAGATCAAGTAGGTTTCTTATCAATGCATTTTATGGAGCTATTTAGGAACGCAAACCCAGTTTAACAGTTAGTAAGTATAGTCGATTTCAATGCAACACTGAGTAAAAAATAAATCAGAAACAGTCCAAAATAAAAAATATCGATCATGGCAAAAGCAATGATATAAACATATGTAAGAACTGGATTTATTTTTCACAGAAAACCTCAAAGCAATAGCAAAACTGTATCAATAGGTACTGTAGTATCAAAAAAAAGGCAAAAGTAAAAATACATGCATATTAGCTAGTACATAAAGACTTGTGAGAAAGAAAGAGATCAGATAAACCCAAGAGGTGAAAATAAAAGAAGTGATTAAAAAGAATAGAACTGCGAAATGTCTGAAAACAAAACTAGAGAGAACAGAAATTAATAAAATAAAAGATCAGAAAGGGGTAGATTAAAACCTAAAATTATTGAATCAGGTTTCTAGGTGAAAAGATGAGAAAGGGGTAGATTAAAACCTGAAATTATCAACTCAGAAATAGTGACATTTTAAATGGAATAAAAAATAATAAAGTTCTTGGAAAAGAAGAACTGACAGTGTAATTGCTTAAGAATGGTAGAAAAGATAAAATAAATACTCTCCATAATCTTCCCAGAATGTAGGGGTATGTTATAAAGGTAGTACCTTTCTATCAGAACTGATACATCAAGTGTCATAGACGACAGATGATTTCAAACAACTGCTCCTCATAAAACACCCAACATTCAATTATTGCTCCATGTGCCACACCCCAGACTACACTGGCCTACAGGTTAAGTGATTGACAGTATAGGTGATCTCCCACTTACTATCAATAGCTGGTAAGCGGCACGGTACTTTTTTTCCTGAGGTCCAGAAATCAGCTCCAACGATGAAGGAATCAACAAATGATCAATGGCAGGATGCAGAAGGCAATGGGGAACCCTTGCATTAAAGAATCATAGAGTACCCCTAATCATATCATCAATTCAGAACTGACAAAACATAATACTAATGATCATAGATAAGCCTACAGCTTAAAAATAAACACATTACAGCTTAAAAAATTGCTACATGGAATGTTAAAAGTTTGTTCTCTGTGGGAAAATTGAACAATGCTGCACAGCAAATGGAGATATTTAACATAACATAATGAGTATCACTAAAAAATAGTTAAGGTATAAAAAATGTTCATATCAAAACAAAATAAATGAAATAGACAAAAAGGTAAATTGTATAAATATAACGATAAGCAGTGGGTACTAAATATCTAACAAAACTAACAAGAGAAACAAAGTACTGATGACACAAAAAAAAACTATACAAAAAAGTAAAAATAGGTAAAAAAATAAAAGATGCCAAAGAAATATGGGCTAAGGAACAATGTAAAGAAATAGAAAATTATGATGGAAAATATGGCAGTTTAAAAATTAAAAACAAGTGAAAGAAATAATGGAAATCCAGAATAAAGACCAGATTGGGGTAAATAAGGACAGAAATTGAAAATTATTCACATACCTAAGACATGTGTTACAAAGATAGACTGAATACATACATAAATTATTTGCAGTCAACAGAAACAACTCTCAACAGAATGAAATCATAAATAGATATATCGATACATTTTTTGCAAAGTAACGTAAGTCACCAAACACGATTTGTAGAAAAAACAATTTTTTAATTCAACCTGGTTAAACATATTTAAATTATGACTGAAAAAACTTGTCCTAAAAAAAGTTTAAAGTAATTCTAGGCTCACTACACTTTGGCAGTACCTTTTTTAACAATAATAGGGTTAGTTTAATTAAAAAACATGATTTTCGCCAAAAATGTCACTTACGTTACTTTGCCAAAAATGTGTCGATATAATAATAATGACTTTCAGATTCAGCTCTCAGTTGCATCACTTCTTTAGTATAAGACATAAATGCTGTGATACACACACTGACAGAGTCAAATACAGCACATTAAGATAATAGACAACTTATCTTCTTCAAAGTAAAACAATCTGCATTCTTAAAAACAAAATTGTTTTTAAACTGTCCTCAAAATGTACATTCTGTGCCTTAATTATTTTTTACAATTTTACAACTTACTGAGTACATTCTTTGTAAAATCCATCTCAATGTTCTTCCATACCCATGGCAGATCTGAACATCAATTAACTGAATAGATGCTGCTTTAACATTCACCAAAACACAGTTGTCAGTGCACTCAAATGGAGCAAAAGCATCTTCTGCAACAGCTACAGACTGCAAAGAATTATTAAATTATAAAAAAACCTCTTAACATGATATTAATGGTGTACCTCTGGACCCATATAATTTGTACAATGTATGGCTTGCATGTATCTTAAGATTGGTTCTCTTTTGTGATATGCAATACCAATTGTAAAACCTACTAGGCCTCCTACTACTAATCCTCCACATGCAAAACATATGTCTCTTTTTGACCCTGCAAATAAGATAAAATTATTGTGAAATCAGTTAAAATATTATCAAAAAGCAAGAAATATTAAAATACATAAACATTCATTTATAATCAACATTAGCAACATTAAAGGGATTACAGCTCTTCAAAAGTTTTTGTCAAATGTACTACTGCCTTCTATTTTTGTTGGTAATGTACAATTATTGCCCATTGTCTCCAATTGTATACAGATCCTCTCTAACTGTATCTTTTTGCCTTTCTCTAGGCCATCCTACAGATCTTCTACTGTAATGGTCTTTTCCAAAACAGATTGTCACTACCCCATATTAGATGTCCTGCCCATCTTTACATATTAGCTTTAACATACCCCACTACATTTTTTAAAATACTCCACTAAAATACTTTGTCATACTATATCTTCAAGAGTCATATATAAGGATTTTGGCACCTCTTGAGGGAACTTTTGTTGATTTTAATGGAGTTTCTTTAATCTTCCATTAAAAATATCCAGTTGAAAATCAGCATTTTATAGGCAGCAAAAGTTCTGTGTTTAGAAGATGGCCGCTGATTGTTGCTGTATCCAGGGACCAAGAGATTATCTATCAAAGAAACAAGCTATGAGAATATATGGCACAAAGTAACTGCTTTGGGACACATTGTGTGCTTATAACATAAGAAAATTAGTTTTACCAAAGATAGGCAAAGAGTTGGAAACCCAAATTGCAAGACTGTGAGAAATATGGTTGAAGTGATTGTTGGAGAGACTGGCACATAAGTTACCATGTGTTGATTTAATCTAAAGGGATTATGTGCTTCTAATCAATCAGAAATCAAAATAAGAATTTCAAAGAACAATTTCCAAAGGGAAATGGAAACATCAATTAAAAATATTTTAAACTGGAATTGCGGTTAATTCCCATTAAGGATAATATATTAGGTATATATTTTACTTGGAAATCACTCAATATCTCTACAATATTTCAAGATAACATACTTAGGGGCGGTGCATTGGGAAGATCACATTATTGTATGATAATTATTTATGTAACTTATTTAAATACTCACATTTTTTTCCAAAGACGTTAAGAAGGGCTAAATACATTTGTTTAGGATTTACGAAAGATACAATGTTTTCTTTAAACTCATTGGTAATTGATATAACTCTCAGTGTTCCTTCTTTGACGTGGGCCCTTAGATGTAGTAAATGTGGACTGTTAAATGCATTAATTAAAAATATTCTACCTTGATTTATGTATTCTTCCAAAGCCTCTTTAGTGCTCGTTGCTAAAACTCTACTTTGTATCTAAAACAAGATATATTTAATCATTTTTAATATTTCTATTTTGATTTATAAGTTACCTGAATAGTTTCTATTCTCTGTGAACTTCGAAATAAAAGTTCGTCCATTTCCTCGTCCTTAACCTTTTAATATAAACTTACATAACAACGTTATATAAAATGCAAAAATGAAGAGTTTAAAATATTCCTGGCCATTGATTTGTAAAATTTAACATGTTTAAGCTTAAATAAATATACCAGTATAAAATTAGACTACAACCAGAATTAGTATAATGTAGTAAATTTGCCCTACTTTCCTAGGTTATGTTATTCTAAAATCGACAGTTTTATCACAGTTTTATTATTTCTCTTTAATACTCCAGTCATCAGGGTCAGAGACAAAAATGCCACTGAAACTCTAAAAATCATATGAAAAAGCTGAAGTTTGTAGCGAATATTAATTTTGGGACCCCAAAAAAGATGCAAAAATGTTTACCTTTTTTACCCCCGAGCTTCCCCCTAAAACTTCCCTTGCAAGGGGGTAAAACCGCAAAAAAATCAATTTACCAAGAATCTGCACAACGTAGAAAAATGTTTCCATTAAAAAATGTAGCTGAGGTAGCTAAAAAAATTAATAAAAATGTAGCAAACATTTGAAATATGATTTAAAAAACGCTTGAATTAAAGTTTTACACAACAAACGATCTAAAACATTTAAAACGCTTTTTCAATTACACTAGTACGTTTTTTAAAAGAAAATATATTCTGCAATAAACTACACCCACAACCGTATTTTTTTAAGCATTTCCCGTGATGTGCGATCGTTTAAAATTAAAATTATTTGTTACCATAACTCAAAATTGAAATTTTATGTCATAGGTTTTGAAAATTGATATCTAAAAATGGATCAAAAGATATCGAATTTTTATCGTTGAGCTGATACAAATTTTAGTAACTGACATGTAAAATCGACGGTCGCTTCAAGCGTTGTTTCTAAGAGAGCGGTATATTCTTCACAAAAAATGCTTATTAAGATTTTTGTTTAAAATGATCTCAGCTACATTTTTTATTTGAAACATTTTTTTCTACTGGGTACATATTCTTGGTAAATCGATTTTTTTGTGTTTTTATCCCCTCCGTATAGTGGACACCGGAGTGGACCCGTAAAATTAAGGGGACTCTGACGACTGGACTATAAATAAAAAGTTCAATCGTTGTGATCGTGGGAAAAGAAGAAGAAAATGTTCATCTCTCAAAATTTGTTGAATATATACATAACCTCATGTACAATTACACACTTTTCGGTTAGCGTTCACGACATAAGGTCTAGTTTGGGAGGCTGTGTTTTCAACTCTTTCCATCTAATTTTCTGTTGTGTGAGTTTCTAAAAGGTGAGTTGAGCTTGATAATAACTAATAAAGCTTTGTATTGTTAGATAACTTTTTTGCTTATTGGCTTAATTTTTTTTTTTTGCTCTCTGTTTGCATGCTTATCTCTTTTGGTTGATTGTTTGAAGTAGTATGAGCGACACAGGGGGGGGCGGCCCCCCCAGCACAGGGCTAGAATGCCAAGAACAGATGGATAATGGTGATAATTTTGTTAATAATTCGACCAGTAATAGCAATAACCTTGAAAAAGAGCCAGTTTTTTATTCACAAAACGACAATGGGCCGTTTTTGGTATATGTGGAATCCACTGAAAAAGTGGGTTTCAATATTGGTAAATTCAACAATATTAAAATTGCTAGAGATATTTTTATTCAAAACTTAACTGACATTAAAAAAATTAATAACAAAGGCTTAAATAGAATCTCAGTAGAATTTGTTAACTTTCAAGCTGCAAATAATTTTGTAAAAAATAAAACTCTTCTTGATAAAGGCTATAAAATATTTATACCATTCAATTTTGTAACTTGTAAAGGATTAGTTAGGCAAATTGATGTTGAATTAGGAGAGAGAGAACTGTTAGAATTTTGTAAAACTAACAGCTCGGTAGAAGTTCTTCAAGTTAAGAGATTAAACCGTAAAATAGTTAAAAATAATGAAACTACATATGAACCTACTGGATCGGTTCTCTTTACATTTAAAGGTGTTTGTCTCCCTAAATCCATAAATTTGTATAGATTGGAAAGACCTATTTCTGTATATATTCCCCCAGTAACTCAGTGTTTTAGATGTCTAAGGTATGGCCATACACGTACAAATTGTAAAGGCAGGGAGAGGTGCTTCACCTGTGCTGAAGAAAAAACATCAGATGGGGAGGTTCACTCTTCCTGTAAAATTAAATGTTTTTATTGTAAAAATCCCCATAAATCAACCGATAAAAGTTGTCCCGAGTATACAAGACAAAAAAATATCAAAGAGCTCATGTCTTTTGAAAATATAACTTTCTATGATGCTAGCGAAATAGTTAAAAAAACTTATTTGACACGTGATGAATTTGTATATCGCCCCTCCGAATTCCCTATTATTAAAAACTTTAATACTAATGAAAAAACACATGATAATAAAGATAACCTTATTCAACCTTCACAAAGACGTACGCATCATGTAAGAACCGATCCTATCAAAAGATCTTTTCAACAAGTCGTGGCTGAAAACAATAAAAAAAAAAGGATAATTCACAAAGGCTATGATAAAAAGGCTCATAATGAAAATTTATTATTTCCCAACTCAAGATCTCAAAATGAAAACAATTCACCAAATTTCTCAAAAAAATTTGAAAACAATATAAATACACAGTTGCCTACTACTAGTGCAGTTCACACTTATAATTCAGAAGAATCTACTTCCTCATATCCAGATGAGGTTAGATATATTATTAATGCAATCTTAAATACGTCCGAAAATAATAAAAAAGTAATTAAAAACATATTATTCAATCAAAATTTTAATATGAATATTGACCCTGGTTCCCAATCGGACTCAGAGTCCTAAATAACCTTCTTTTCTTTTCATCTAGGTCAGATATAATTAAGTTAAAGATAATTTGTTGGAATCTAAGAAGCATAAATTCAAACAGGGGTAATTTAATTAACTTAATTTACAAAGAAAACCCGGATATTTTTTTAATAAATGAGTCATGGCTAAAAGCCAATGACAATTTTAAACTCAATTCGTATAACATAGTTAGGCAGGATAGAGATGATGGGTATGGTGGGATTGTAACATGCATTAAAAATAATATAATATTTAAGAAAATTAAATCTTTTTCTTCAGAACATATTCAATATATAATAATAGAAATAGGTAATTTACAAGTAATTAATTTTTATTGCAACTCACATATGCATATAAATAACAATATTTTAAATGATCTTATTTCCTTCAATCCTAAAAATATTATAATTATGGGAGATTTTAACTCTCATCATCCCTTATGGGATAAAGCTACACCCAACAAAGGAGGTAGAATAATTCATGATTTCTTATTTGATAATGATCTAGTTGTTATGAATGATGGTACACCAACACTATTTCAATTGTCAGCGGCAATACCAAGTGCTGTAGATTTGACTATGGTAAGTGGGAATCTAGCTATTAGGTCTAATTGGGATACTATTAAAGATTGTGGTAACAGTGACCACTTTCCTATACGTCTTGTACTTAATGATAATGGCAATTGTGAGGTACTTAACAACACAATTAGTCCTTATAAAATTAGAAACTTTAAAAAAGCTGATTGGGAAGCGTACCATAATAAATTTTTGATATACCTTCAAGATTTAGATTATAACTTAACCTATGATCAACTAATGTATATTATTAACATTGTAGCTGATCAAGTAATTCCAGTTAAACAGGCCGGTATACATGTTAAAAGGGGTAATGCCTGGTGGGATGATGATTGTACATCCTGGGTTAAGGAAAGGAAAAAAGCCATAGCAAATTTTAATAATTTTCCATCTATGGAAAATTATATATTAGCAAAAAAAACCATTGCATTAACTAAGAAAAAATTAAATAATAAAAAAAAAGAAAAGTTTAGGCTTTTTTGTGAAACTTTAAATAGGAACTCTAGCATGACTTATGTTTGGAACAAGATTAAGAAATTCAATAATAATAACCTCAAAACAGGAAGATTTAATCTTACTATTCCAGATAACCTTAAAATATCTATTTTAAATAAAATGTCAATCATAAATATAGATCCAAATTTTGTTCTTAACAACATAGATGAAAATTTAAAGCACTTTTCCATAAATGAATTAAACCTGGCTTTAAATAAAAAGAAATCATCCGCTCCTGGTATGGATGATATATCTTATGAAATGTTTCAATTTTTACCTTTCAAAGCTAAGCAAATTCTTATTAATAGTTATAATAAAATTTTAATGGGTGGAGAAATACCAGCCGCATGGAAAACATTTAATATTATTAGTTTTTTAAAACCAAATAGGGATCCGACAAATCCAGAAAATTATAGACCAATTGTCCTGTCTTCATGTGGAGCCAAAATTCTAGAAATAATGATCAAGAATCGATTAGACTGGCAATTGGAACATAATTTAAAATTTTCAAATAATCAGACTGGATTTCGTAAAGGAAGAGGTATATATGACAACATAACATTCATCACATCATACATTAACCTGGCATTTCAATCCTCTGAGTCAGTCATCGTAATTTTTTTAGACATAAAAGCTGCATACGATAATGTTGACATATATAAACTCTATAATAAACTTAAAAACTTAGAAGTGCCTATCCGAATGTGTAACCTAATTTTCAATCTTTTAACAGAACGATCACTATATTGTAGGGGTAATGACGGCTCCTTTCTGGGTCCTGTAGCAACAACCTCGGGTATACCACAGGGCTCCCCTCTGAGTACTATTTTATTCAATATTTATTTAAGGGATATTTTTAATTTAAATTTGGGAGAAGCATCTATCATAGGGTATGCTGATGACTTGGCAGTTATGATCAGAGGAAAAAGTGTAGCAACCATGGTAAATAATATCAATAATGCTTTAAAGCACATAAATGCACACCTTCGTGAACACAACCTGTCACTTTCCATGGATAAATGTGAGGCAGTATGGTTCACTAGAGGGAGGAAACATACCATCCCACCCCCCATACATATTAATAACGTAATCATTGCATTTAAAAAGGAGGTTAAATATTTGGGTATTATACTGCAAGAAAACATGAAATGGTCATCACACATTAATAACATTACAAATAAAGCAAAAAAATCATTAAATGTATTAAGAGCACTGTGTAGGGTTTGGTGGGGTGCAGATCCAAACACACTTTTGATAGCCTTTTCTGCTCTAGTACAATCACATCTTGATTTTGGATCAATGTTTCTTAGACCATGTTCTAAGGCGGCTCTCAGTAAATTGGATGTGGTGTTTTATGAGGGATTACGTATATGTATGGGATGTATGCGTTCCACACCCAGGGTTGCACTTTTGGCTGAAGCATCTATATTAGATCTGGAACATAGAAGAAAACTACTGGCCCTTAAATTAATTTCAAAATTCTTAGTTGTAACAAATCATCCCTCTATTCAATTTATCAACGACTTTCTATTAAAAATAATCCATAGACCAGAGTTTTGGAATAAGGACAAAATACCATACCTAGTGGAAGCACTTCAGCACTATAGGCCTTATTTAAAGTTAATATATAGAGGTTCAAATTTTCCCTGTTACGAAATTGATTTTCATATACTCAATAAACCTTTAAAACCTGTTAACTGTAATTGCAAAAAAGGAGACATCATGTCAAGATTTAATTTTGAAGTCGAAACTAATAGTCTAAAATCTCAATATACTTTCATTTTTTCTGATGCGTCAAAAAGGGACAACAGAGTGGGTTTTGGTATATTCATTCCATCCCTAAACTATAAATTTTCGTCACGTCTTCCCAATCATCTAAGTATTTACAAAGCAGAAATAATTGCCATACATGATGCAGTAAAAACTGCCATTAATAAAAAAATTAAAAATGTGATAATTTTCTCAGATTCACAGGGGGCTATAACAAAACTCTGTAATCCTTCTTTTGCAACAAATTCTGAATACTGGGTTCTTACGACAAAAAGGCTAATTGCTTCATCTAACATGAATGGTTATAATATCCAATTATCCTGGATACCGGGTCACTCAGGTATACCTGGGAATTCAGAGGCAGATACTTTGGCCAAAATTGGAACAGATCTTAATATTCCCAGAAAAATGGTTTATGACATAAAAGATATTTCAAATTTCTTAAAACAGGATATTATAAACATTTTTAAAGATAAATGGAGAATCTTAGTCTCAACCAAACATCGTGGGTATGCTAGAGTTCAATCAACTTTCACCAATAAGACATGGTATGGCAATTTAAATTATAAAGATAGAAGACACATCACAACTATAATTAGAATGCGTACAGGTCATTGCCTGACTAATGCCCATCTCTTCAAAATCAATATAAAAGATGACCCTGCATGTGAATGCGGCATGATAGAAAACCTGAATCACATATTTTTCGAGTGCCCTATTAACCATATTCCTAATTTGGACTTATATAAGTATTTTGTGTCAAAAAAGAAAATATCACCGTTATCCATGAATGACATTCTATCTTCTCCGGAAAACGAAACTATAGAGATAATCATGCAATTCATTAACATTAATAAAATCAAACTCTGAAGCTCAACTATCCAATTTCCCTGATGTTTCCTATAATCCTGCCTGTTTTAGTGCTTTGGTGTTGTCCGCTTATTCCATTTGTTGTAATATTAACTTATCCTCCAGTATTTTTGCCGTAGTTATCAAGCTATATAGAAACAAGAAACGCGCTAACACGAGAAAAGCTGTAGTCCAGTGAAGTTTCCAGAGATTCCTGCATGGCCCAGAGCCAGACAAAGTGGGGTCTCACACAAATCGGGCTGGCAATTGCCTTGCAGCAAAGCCATCAATACGACAAGACAAGACAAGACAAGACATAACCTCATGTAAGAGTTTGTTGTGGTTCGCACGTGTACACAAATTATTTCAACTTATGTAGTACATTTTCGTTTTAAATTATTACTAATAAGTACTTTGTGAGAAATGGAGTACACTGTTGGAAGTCTCGCTGACTTAATATCTGGTAAAAATACACCAAATAAACCTAAGGTAAAAAAAGTTGCAGTTAAACAAGAAAATAAATCTGAAGAACAGGATACACCAAAATCAAAAAATAAGGAAAAGAAAAAGCTCAAACCGTCAGTTAGTGTTTTAGAACAGGAAATAGTTTCTTCTAGTGATTCTGTTAAAAAGAACCAAAAAAAGAAAAAAAGGAAGATATCAGATAGTCAAGATGATGACAATATTCCAGAAAAACTACTTGAAAAGGGCATAAAACAGAAAAAGCGTAAATCTTCTACTAGTCAGGACGAAGAACAAATTACGGAAGGCTCATTAATAAAAAAGGGAAAAAATAAGAAACGGAAAACATCTGTAGGCACGGCGAGTATAGAAGATACAGAATCACTGGTAGAGAAGACAAGTAGCAAAACACATAAAAATAAATCTAATTTAAATGGAAGCAGTTTAGCTGATAGTGATGATGAGGAGAATCTTGATGAAAAAGTAAATAGTGAACAGAATGGTCAAGAAGAGAAAGAAACTCCAAAAAAGAAAATTAAAGTGGAACATGATCCAGAGGAGCAAGAAAGAACAATATTTGTAGGTAATGTTCCAATCAAGATTAAAAAGAAAAAAATAAAACAATTTTTCAATAAGTACGGAACAATTGAAACTTTGAGGATTAGAGGTATTCCCGTTGCTGATCCAAAGATACCTAAAAAGGTGGCTGCAATTAAAAATGAATTTCATCCTGATAGAAATAGTGTTTACTGTTACATAAGGTAATGTTTTATTTCAAATATGAACAAATATAAACAATATGTATTGAAAATATTTTTTTTAGATTTTCTAATAAGGAAGAAGCTGAAAAAGCCTTAGAAGCAAATGGCAGTGTATTTCAAGAACATCATTTAAGAGTACATAATTGTGTTACCAAAGAAAAACCTGATGAATCTAAAGCAATATTCATAGGAAACTTAGGTTTTAGTAAGTATTGTATATCGTCAGCTTAGTGACACAAAAATGTATCTCAAAAATGCTTTTTGTAATGACCTGTAGTATATTCTCAACTTTTTGGTTCAAATCATTAATCTTAGAAATGTATTCTTTACAGTAATACAATCATGCACAACAATGGATAAATTGTGTTTTCAAAATATCAACAATTAGATAAAGTAGCAGAGATACATTTTTGCGTCCCTAACTGAAAAGTCTATTATTAAAGAGACTTACGGAGGTACCATTTTATTTTAGAAAAGCTTAATCTTAATCCTATTAAGAAAGTCATTTGTATTTGAGTAATATCAATAAATTTCGAGAGATGAACATACTGAGTAGCAGGTATAATAAAAGTACAATAGATTAAACTTTATTAATCTCTACCTGGTCATAACTCATTTTATGACTTTATACTGGTCTAAAGCTATTTTCTTGTTGCATTAAATACTATTTAAATGTCTCGATGGGAATAACCACAATATATTTATTAAAAAAAGAATATTAGTTGAATTGAAAGATTAGTTTACGGATTTATTATCAGATGTCGCTATTTGCGTCTATATGAAGCCACGTTAGTGTTGCTTCTACTATGACAGGAAATATTTATTTTCACAGGTGAATAGCTGCTCTGAAGGTTTACTTTATATAAGGAACTTTATAAAATGTTTAGATAACGATTTCTGAATTAGAAGTCGAAATGTCAACGTTATCAGATGTTAATCCCATCGAGATGTTTATAACTTTATTTAAAATCATAAAATAATTTTTTTTTAATTAAACATAAACTTTGAAAACATTTTCAAACAATAAATTTAATAAATATGTCAATCACTTTGGACATCTTATTGATTAAGCTTATTATTATTTTTTGTGAGCAACAACTTATAGAAGAGATGATACTGGAAAGGAATAATGCTTTTATTGCACAGGTCTTCTAAATCCCTATACTTTTCTACTTTTATCCGTCATATGACGTTGTTAAGTTTGGCATGGAAATTTTCCTAGTTTCTTTTCAAACAACCTCAAAAGACCTGAAATTTTCATTTTCCTTGTTTTATTTAAAAACTATAATGCTTATTATCGTCTATTCATGCATCCATGATAATTTTAGCCAATTTATACTACTACCATCGATATCTATTTTTTTGTTTTTTATTACAGCTTTGAAGTCATAAATTTCTTCCTGTTCAATCTTGTGTACAATGTATTTTGATATCTTTGACGCCATTCTTACAATGGAGTATCACCCAGTGGGGTCAAATATGTCCACATTTTTTTATGCTTTCTCAATATGACCATGGACTGAATGTGTCACTTCTTGTGATGAGAGCGGTAAATTACTACTATGTGTTTTATCATCTCATAATTTGTTAAGAGCTAACAAAACTAACTTCTTCCCTGTTAATATAAACAAATTATCAACTGATTCACATGTTTCACAACTGTAACAGAATTGCAAATACAATGAACCACCCTGTTAAACATGGTAAACAAATTATTAAATCCACAGTTGCTACCTGCAATCACCATTCAGTGCAATAAAATGAATGCCACAAAAGTAACTCAATATCAGCTTATTTATAGTATGAAAACATAGTATCACAGAAATGTAACAGCACTTACATTTCTGTGATACTAAAAGATTGATAAGAAATGTAGTTACAAAAACTCTTTACTGGGGTTTAAGCTGTTCGGAAAGATATAGTTTTGTGTCACTCGATAGAACTCACTAAAGTAAGCTCAATGGTGTAGATATCTCAAACTGGGAAATGTGTCACTAAGCCACTAAGCATATATGCTTCCAAATATGAATTTCTGTACTTTAACAAATCTTCAAGATGCAATGATTTTTGTATGTTGGAAATATTTTTTATAATGTATATAATTTCTGTATTTTTAAGATGTGTAGTATATTTTTTTTCAAAATTTGAATATTAAGGTTGATCTTCACCCTCGATTAATTTGTTTCTGATCCTAGAGATGGCTCTACTGCGGCATGCTACTGTGGTAAATTTTTTAACTTAATTGTAGATTTCTACATGACGACTCTGTAATATTTTCAAATCCTAACATAAATTGCAGTTTTCTATCATTATATCAATTGGCTGAGTTGCCAAGTTGTGTAGACAGTAATTTTATCAAATCTTATATGGTTACTAGTAGACCAACTAAGCAAAGATATCTTATGACAACATCTTTATGTATAATACTTTACTGTTCTGCTATGTCAGTCGGAATATAATATACCAAATTCATTCATTATCTAAACAATGTTACCGACAAAGAAATTATGTATGTTGCGGCTTTCTTTGTCAATATCATATTACCATTAAATTCGTACATCATATTATATTACATTTTTGTTGATAGTTAAAAATTAAATGATCTGGTATTATGATTATGTAATATTTTAGTGGGAAATAACAAAAATGTTATTTAAATCTATTACTATCTCAGTCTTTATTGATTAATAAATTTTACTATGTCTTCTTCTTTCGGTTATATATATATATATATATATATATATATATATATATATATATATATATATATATATATATATATATATACTACGGTTATATTTATATTTCTTATTTCATGCTTCATTGTTCTGGCTTTATTGGTCTGTTTATTCTTATATTTTTTTTATTCTTTTATTTTATTCTTTTTTCGTAAGACACATTACTTCCGCCGCTTATGCTATCATCGGTCTAATCGCTGCTATATGTATTTTTGTCTTTGTTTTTTTTTTGCTGTTTTTTTTTATTATTAAGTAGTGGGTGATATTTCCAAAACACCCCGTTCTTCTCCCACCTTGTGTGCGTGTGAGTCATACGTTGGATGTATTATTTTGAATGGTTGATGCGTACATAGTTATTACGGTTCTATTTGGTCTATTTAGTTCTTCAGTGTCTGTATTCGACAATTTTATAACGCCAAATGAGGACTATGTGAAAGGTGTCATTGCGTATGTGTTTATTGCTTTTACTATATGCTTGGAATTAAGTTTGCTTTTGAGTATTATCCAGATTTAATCATACGGCTCACACTCCCTCTTAGAGGAAAATTCACTCATTCCAGATACCTACGGTATCAAAAGGATTGAGCTCTGGTGGGACTCTTTCTGTGTTATTGAGCCCTAGGTGACTTGGTATGCTGGAGTATCTCCCAAAAAATTTCGTACATATCTGGACGTCGCGAGGAGTACAGCTTTATATATGGCCTTATAAAGATGTTCATTTAGACCCAGCTGTTTTATGTTCGCTAGGTGATTTTTGGGAATAACACGAGTAACATGAGTATTATCCAGATTTAGCCATACGGCTCACACTCCCTCTAAGGGGGAAATTTACTCATCCCAGATACCTACGGTATCAAAAGGATTGAGTTCATTTAGACCCAGCTTTTTTATGTTTTCTAGGAGGTTCTTCGGAATGACTCCAGTGGTAGAAAGAATAATAGGTATCGTCTGGGTACTTTCCATTCTTCATTGTCTTCTTATTTGTATTTCCAGATCTCTGTACTTGGCGATCTTGAGTATTATTATTATCCAGATTTAGCCATACGGCTCACACTCCCTCTAAGGGGAAAATTCACTCATCCCAGATACCTACGGTATCAAAAGGATTGAGCTCTGGTGGGACTCTTTCCATGATATCGAGTCCTAGGTGACTTGGTACGTCGATGTATCTCCTAAAAATTTTCGCACCCATCTGAACGTCGAAAGTAGCACAGCTTTTTGCATGACCTTATATAGATCCAGTTCATTTAGACCCAGCTTTTTTATGTTTTCTAGGAGGTTCTTCGGAATGACTCCAGTGGTAAAAAGAATAATAGGTATCGTCTGGGTACTTTCCATTCTCCATTGTCTTCTTATTTGTATTTCCAGATCTCTGTATTTGGCGATCTTTTCGTTGTACTTAACACCCAGATTATTGTTGTTAGGTATCGCCACATCGATTAGAGTTGTTTGTCTTGTTAGTTTATTAACTAGCACGAGATCTGGTCTATTATGTGCTACAGTTTGGTCTATGAGCACAGTGCGATCCCAGTATAGCTTGCAGTTGTCATTCTCCAGCATACTCTCAGGAACGTATTGATATTATTATTCTTATTATTATTATTTAATGATATCGAGCCAAAGCAGAGCTTATGAGAAAACTATAAGAAAACTATAACTTATAAGAAAACTTACTAAAATAATTAGTACTTACAAAGAGTTCTGGCAATAGCAAATTACAAAAATACAAATATTACCAAGTATACATAAGTTTTCAAAAGAAAAAAAATACAACCAATATAATTAACATAAGGCTAGGTACAATATTTTGTTCGTTTTCATCAAACTTGTTTTTGAAACTATTTAAACTAGTAGCTTCTACTATGTCATCACTTAAACCGTTTAATTTATCAAAAACTCGGTTAACTAAAAAGTTTTGCCTTAAGGTGGTTTTAAAATACTCCTTTTTTAATTTATAGTTATGACCTCTTAGTCTACCACCCCCCTCCAAAATTCCCCACTAAGAATTCTATAAGTAGATATGACATCATATCTTTCTCGTCTTAAGAGTTAATATAGACAACTTAAGCTTTCTTAGTCGGGTTTCATAGTCTAATCTTCCATAATTAAAAGGTAGCTAGGTAGCTCTTCGTTGTACTTCTTCTAATAAATTAATGACTTTTTGCAAATGAGGTGACCAAACTGACACTGCCAATTCTAGGTGAGGTCTGACATAACTTTTGTAGAATTTCAAAAACAAGTCTTGAGATATTCTATGAAAAGCTTTTGTGATATATAATAAAGCAGAGTTCGCTTCACTAACTACTTTTGGTGTTTGAGTAGACCGACTTATTGTTTGGTTGACCGTAACACTAAAATTATTAACTTCCCGTACCGATTTCAGAGGAACTCCATCCCAAAAATATGTATATCGGAATTAGAAGATGTAAATGACAAAAAGTCAGAAAACTTAGCATGTAAAGAAGCAATATTAGTCTAAAAAATATTTATTGTTCTCAACTCTATTTGTTTTTTGCGGCATTTTGTTGGTTAGTACTAATAATAGTTGGAACTTTATTAATATACTTTATTGTTAGTTCCTTGTTAAGTAGATTACGTTTTTCCAGTTCCTCTCGCACTTTATTCAAATAGTTTATTTGATATTTAGTTAAGTCATCCTTCAATTGAATTCTAGAAAATTTGGTTCCTAACAACCCCATATTATTGCGCAACATAAATAATGGACTATCATTATCTGCAAATTTAACCTTTAATAGCCTACGTTTAATACTATTGATAATCTTTCCAATACACGAAAAACGCTGAAACTGATAACGAATATTTGCTTCTTGTATACAATCCTCCAACTCCATTGAGTTAGTTTGAGAAGGTTGTTCCATGGCCTCGAGACGATCCTCAATCGATGTGAGTCTATGTGATAACTTAGAAATTAAGTCAGTTAATTTATTGAACTTATCTTCGAATGTACAGCAACTATTACAGACGAGTCTTAGTGACTCCGATTTTGTCCTATTTATTCGTATAACTTTTTCTTGTGCAATATCTAGACATTAAATCATCATCATTATCATTTAACCCGGATCTATCTACTGCTGGATATAGGTCTCCCTCAGTATTTTCCATGTATTTCTGTTTTGTGCTGTTTGCATCCAATTTTTGACGATCCGTTTTATGTCATCAGACCATCTTGTTGGTGGACGACCTCTACTTCGATGTGCTTCTTGTCTCGGTCTCCACTGTATTATTTGCTGTGTCCATCTGTTATCCGACACTCTAGCTATGTGCCCCGCCCAGTTCCACTTAAGGGTCATAATTCTTTCTATGGCATCTGTCACTCCTGTTCTCCGTCTTATTTCCTTGTTCGTGATCCGATCCCTACGAGAAATGCCTAAAATCGATCGTTCCATGGCTCTTTGGGTAACACAAATTTTATTTCTTACTTTCTTGGTTAGTGTTAATGTATCTGCACCATATGTAAGTACTGGCAACACGCACTGATTAAAGAAGACAGAAGACATTGTATATGAATCGGTAAATTGTATGTCATACAACTAAGGGAATTTTTATTGTTAACAATTGACAACTTACAATTTGGACATTTGTTCATCTTTTATTGAGTTGCTGAAACTTGACTAGCCAATATTTTATTGCTGCTAATGACTTTTCACATTTCGGCTCTATAAGCTACAGGTAAAAGTACGGATAATAGCAGACAATAATTATTGATTTTTTTAACACTTAATATTTAAACAGTTAGTAGTAAATAATTGAAAAACCATACACCCTTTAACTCTAATATGCGTTTGTTATCACTTACCACTTTTGAATATATTAAAATTAATTAAGCAACTCTTTTTATGTGAATTTTACGCAGCAATATAAACACCGACCAGATTCGATCTTTTTTTTGAATCATATCCTAATATTATTTAAAAACAAACTAAAAACCTACACACATATTTATATCATTAGAACCGTAATTGAAAATCCTATAAAATGGTAAAATGATATATACAAAGAGTATAATAATACAGATTTCTCTAGAAGTGACAAATTAATATTTAGACAGTTGTATGACTTATTGGCTATTATGCCTATATTATTTCTTGCGAAAGTTGAAGAAAATTAAAAGAAGATAAACTTTCATAATCTTAGCAAGTGAGAATCACTTTTTAAATTTTATTAGTTCGAGTTAACCGTTATAACAATTAAGTACTAGGACATTCAACAGGGCAGTCCAAAAAAAATATCTTTGAGTGAGAATAACATTGTAATAGTAGTTATCTACCAGAAACTGAAACACTAAAACTAACGCTAATACTAATAAAAAAATTACCACTAATACGTTAAGCAAGGAACACTATTGTTTATAAATACTAAAATAATTTACTAAAAACGCCTAAATAGGTTTTTAAAACTAAATAAGTTTTTTATAGATATATTACTTAGATACTGTAAATTTTATGATATCCTACTTTCAAAATAAAGGTTGCAGTATCTACTATTCTGTAACTCTGTAAGTTTCAGCGTGGCCAGTTCAAAATTCAAACCCATAACATTCCTACTAAGTTTTATTATAATCTGCCAAATTGTTGTACAAAGTAACTGATACGGCAACCCTGTTACTATGTCGTATCGTTTGAAGCGTTTAGCAGCCGAACGTAATGCTATCTATCGATGATAAATACTACCACTGTTTCAGATGGAGCCATCTCCCTACATTGCACATTTGAAGGCGGCGGTTCAAAACACAATTCTTGTTTAACGAGGTTTTTCATATGTTTAGGAAAAAATATTTAAAGTTTTATTGCAAATATTTTCCACTTTTACAGTTTTATATATGTTGTTATTAAAAAATTTTTTGGTTTTTTACCGGAAGCTTTATTATAAGCAGAAACATATTATTTTTTCCTATTGGGACAAAACTGTAAATTCAAAAATTTTCAAAAAATTCCTAAGTATTTCTTATAATTATACCTTGATGCTGTAAAAAAATGAACAAAATTATATTTCTGGTTTTCCCGCTTTATACTTGGAAAAAAGTAGTTTTTTTGAGTTTTTTTTAAAACGAAAACATGAAGTTTGCTTAAAAGTTGTCAAAATACTTCTAGTCATTTCATACACCTTCTCAAATTTTTTCAAATTTTTTGAATTTGGAATTTATTTTTTGGGGGGTGCAGATCAACCTTAAAATGTGGTAGCTTATTATTGTTCTTGCCTTATCAGTTGGTCATAGACACTCCAAAATCATTCTGAGAAACTAATATCATGTGAATTAGTTTATTCACTTCTTCTTTAAGTGCTGTCTTCTAATCGGAGGTTGGATATCATCATCATGATCTTTACTCTATCTACTGCTGCTTTGAAGAGTTCTATAGAACTGCATTTAAACCAGTCCCTTAAATTTTTTAACTGTGACACTCTCCTTCTTCCTATACTCCTTCCTCCTCATATATTTCTCTGTATTATCAACAAAAGCAGTTCATATCGCTGTTCCTTCATTATGTGTCCCAGATATTTTAACTTTCTTATTTTTATTGTGTTTATTATTTCGCATTCTTTGCCCATTTCTTGCAATACTTCCGTGTTATTTTTCTTCTGTGTCCATGCTATTCTAAGCATCCTCCTGTAACACCACATTTCAAAGGACTGTAATTATTCACTTACTTAAAACAAATTAATGCTACCCTTCCTAAACTTATGGGGTAAGTCAACTTATGGGGTGAATCTTAAAGTGTGGGTCAACTTGAAGTCACATTTTAAATATTCAAAAGAAAAATAATAAGGCCAAATTTGTAGAAACCATACTTATTGAATATTGTAATGTTTATTTTAATTTATTTACACTCTACATCTTCTAACACTCACACAAAAAACACAATTAATTTATAACATTTATTACTTAACAGTACATATTTATTTTATCGACTAACTCCTTAAAATCTAAATTGTTCTTTATATATAGTGCTGCTATGCCTCCAGAAATCTGTTGATGCTGTTAAGTCTTGCTTCAAAGTGTTTGATCCGCTTGTAGAGTGCAGCTGAATTCTCATGTCAGGAAATATCCACTTGAATTGTTGATTCAAGTAGATTCCATCATGGGCATAGCAAGGTTATCGTAAAAATATATTGCATTTTATTCATACATAGCATGTAGTATTTATCATAAAATTATCAAGATAATGCATATCTAAACAACCATGAGGAAGTTTGATTTAAACTCTATAACACTAATATTAAAAATATCTTTACCACCATTTTTAAAAGAGAGCAGTAAACCTTATTAGTTCAAAACATCTCTCTGCAAATGAGTATTAGTGAAAAAGAAGGGAAAGACTCAGAACAAGGTTTCTTTATATTCAGCTATGAAAAGCCCGAATGCTTATGAACCTTAGCCACCAAACACTTGATATGATTAATTAATTAGATATGTCTGCATTTTAAGCTATTCATGATAACATATTCAAACAGTGCTACCAGCATTTTCCGTCACTATTTTAATGTTACACATTTAAAACTTTTGAGTATACTATAAGTCACAAGGTGTTAATAAGCATTATGTTTTCTGACTATAAGTACTTTAGAAATTGTTTTTCTATTTTTTTACTTGTGGCTTGAGACTATAATTTCTTTTCAGATGCTGAAGAAGAAGAACTGTGGAAGTTATTTGAACCTTGTGGCCCGATATCTTCAGTAAGGATTATAAGAGATTCATATACAGGTATGGGCAAAGGCTTTGCCTATGTCAACTTTCAAGAATCTGATGCGGTACAATTAGCACTTGAAATGGAAAATGTAAAGCTTGGTAATAGAGAACTGAGAATTAAATTGTCCAGTGTAAACACTGCTAAGAAAAATAAAAAGAAAGAAAATAAACAGGTATGTATTTCAGATTAAGGGGTTTTGACCTATATCTTGAATATTTCATATGTATAAGCATTTATCAATATCCTCTAGGCTAGACATCCCTATATTATATCTTCTAGACAAGACACTGGAGGTGCGATATTGATACAACATAATTTTATATGGCATTCATCTTCTTTAAGTGCCATCTCCCAATCGGAGGTTGGATATCATCATCACTATCTTTATCTACTGCTGCTCTGAAGAGTACTATAGAACTGCATTTAAACCAGTCCCTTAAATTCTTCAACCATGATACTCTCCTTCTTCCTATACTCCTTCCTCCTCTTATCTTTCCCTGTATTACCAGTCTTAACAGTTTATATCGCTGTCCCCTCATTATGTGTTCCAGATATTGTAACTTTCTTATTTTTATTGTGTTGATTATTTCACATTCTTTGTCCATTTCTCGCAATACTTCCGTGTTACGTTTTCTTCTGTGTCCATGCTATTCTAAGCATCCTCCTATAACACCACATTTCAAAGGACTGTAACTTATTTATGTGTTCTTGCTTCAATGTCCAGGTTTCAAGTCCATATTGCAGTATCGAAAACATGTAGCACCTCAGTGCTCTTACTCTCAGTTCTAATCTAAGATCTTTGTTGCAGAGAATTGTTTTCATTTTTACAAACGCATTTCTTGCTATTTCTATCCTAGCTCTTATTTCAGTTGTTTGATCATTATTGTCTGAAATCTAGGTTACTAGGTATTTGTATTTATGAACCCTTTCTATCGGTACATTTCCCAAATGTATGTTTGTTGGTATATTTGTTTTCTTTGTTATTATCATGTATTAGGTCTTTTTTATATTCATTTTTAGTCCATATTTTTCACAGAAACTGTTTGTTTTGTTTAGCAGTAATTGGAATTGTTCAACAGAGCTTGCCATAATCACAGTGTCATCTGCATATCTTAGGTTGTTACTAGATCTTCCATTAATTATTATTCCTTCACTTTGAGATAGTAATGCTTCTTCAGAAATGGCTTCACTATATACATTAAATAGTAATGGGGACATAATACATCCCTGCCAAACTCCTTTCCTGATTTCAATTTCTGGACTGCGTTCTTTATCTATTACGATTTGTGCTCTTTGATACCAGTAGAGATTTGTTATTATTCGTAAGTCCCTATGGTCTATGATTTTTTTCTTTAGAACTTGGACTAATTTTTCATATCTTACTTTGTCAAATGCTTTTTCAAAATCAATGTAACAAACATGCACATCAACATTCATATTAATGCATCTTTGAGCTAACACATTCAAAGTAAATAACGCTTCTCTGGTTCCTAGTTCATTTCTGAACCCAAACTGACTAACATCTATTCCTTCTTCCAGTTTTTTATTTATGCAACCATGTATTATTTTCAGGAATGATTTGAGAATGTGACTTATTAGTGATATTGTTCTGTATTCACTGCAATATTTAGCGTTTGTATTTTTAGGGATAGCACAAAAGCTGGAGGGTAACCATTGTTTTTGTATGTGTCCTGTTTTGTATACTGAGTTAAATAAGTCTACTATAATGTCTAAGGTTTCATCATTCAGGCATTTTAAGATTTCTATAGGGATTTGGTCTGGACCAATGCTTTACCAAATTTTTTTTTAGTCCATTTTAATTGCCTCTTTTAATATCTTTAAAACCATATCCTCTTCTACTTCTGTTCTGTTCTATCGTCTTTGAACAGTTCATTGATGTATTCTGTCCATCTCTTTAATTTGTCGTTACTATTCAACACAAGTTTCCCATTTGCATATTTCAGTATTCCCGGTTTTCTTGTTCTATTGTTGTGAGTTAATTCTTTAATTTTTTTATGTGTGTTAAAACTATCATGTTTTTTCTGGTATTCATCTATTTCTGTTCTATTCATTGTTCATTTAACCATTGTTCTAAAGGCATTCCATGGCATTCATAGATTTCTAAAAAGCGTTCAATATGGTAAAAACATGACCGTTAATAAAAGCGTCAAAGTGATGCTGAGTCGAATATCGATACATACAGTTCATTAAAAGCATGTACAAGGACTCAGTTGTAACAGTTAACTCATTTGCTGACACACGACCTATTGAAATAAAAGAAGCATTATACAATAAAACCCACTATCCAGCAATTGTTCGCTAACTGAAGACATGTTCAAAACTTAAATTTTCAGACAATGTAATACTGCCATCAAACAATGTGAATGAACTGAGCGAATTAGCGGAGGATTAGTTGATTTGCAAAAGTGAAGGCAGAATAAAGGACTAAAAGTTAATACATTAAAAAAAGTAATTGCAAGCCACGAATAAGCAAGGCAAATACAATTCAAAAAATACAAAAACACAAGACGTGGGGAGACAAATATAGGGCAATTTTAATCGTATGTTTGTACAGGAGAATGTTTGACAATAACCTTTCATGGTTGACACTGTTCTCTTAAATATTAATAAAAAAAATAATAAGAGCAGCAATGACAAGATCAGCAACAATTAAATTCCAAAAATACTTATATTTGAGCGAAATTCCTTTAAGCTTAAAATTCTGCATGGTAAAATGTTATTGTTTAAACATGGGTTAATATATGATAAACTAGGAAGTGTTAACAAGAGCTGGAATCGAACATGAATTGTTTTGGAAAGCCATCTGTTATAAATGTGTCTTACATAACCTGCATTGTTACAAACTACTATGAATTAAACAATGAAAATATTCCTATTTGGCACATAAAATGAAGGGCAAATGTCTGAGATATTAGAATTGATTGTAAAGGGTAGTATAAAAGGAAGAAGGGGCCCAGGGACAAAGCAACATTTGAGACTACAAGATATGTGTTTGGTGCGGAATTCGAAATGCAGTTTACATTTGCTAGAGAGGGAAAATTAAGAATAAATGGCAGATAAATATCCATATGCTGGAAGAAGCCTATTCCTACAATTAATGCACTCTATTGTTTTTGCAATTTTGCTAAATGTGGCTCAGTTCAATCTGGTATTTATTTTATAACATAGGAATACTTATCAACTTATTATACTTTTACCTATTTGTGGCAATTTTTTGTTTAAAATCCCATTCAGATACCTCTACCCATCACAATTGATAATTGTGTATTTTTTTTTTGGTAATATTAATATAAAATATTTTTCCTGCAATCACTTACACATCGGTTACATTTTTAAATGAATGAAGGGCAAAAAGTGACATTTTTATAAAAAATGACAACTAACACATCAGCTTTTATATGTAGTTTATACATTTGCATAACAATTTGATAGTTTTCAATCATAGTTTATGATGTCTGTTTATTTTCAATTTTTTTGTTAACAAAAATCGGCATTCTCAAAAAAACCTATTGTAAATAATGAAAAGGTTACCAATGTGAACCCATAATACTAGTATGTGGGAAATGAGTTAATACTCACAATTTTAAGTAGTTTTTATTTAATGATGGTAAATTTTGAGCTACCGATTTCAAGACTTACAATATAATCCCATCATCAGGCCTCTGATGCTATCTATGTTAGTCTTATTTTTATTAAAAACTACAAGATATCAGATACAGGAAAGCACCTTCCTCTTTAAGGAATCCATTCACTCAAACCCAGAAATGTATAAATTTTAAATTTCATGTGTATATTATCATTATGTTAATACTTAACGAGATGTTTTTTTCTCGATACATTTATTAATTGTTATAGCTGTTCTGTCAATATTGTAAAATTAAAATTTATGAACGCCACATACATGAAAACACAAACACAGTTTATTAAAATTTAAACAGCATTTTGCCCTAGACGTTATGTTGTCATTTTACGGAGGTAAACCTATTGATTTACTTACATGGAAATTACATTTTAGAATGCAACAAGACGTAAGATGGGAAGAGAAAGAAAAAGTGGACAGGCAGAAAATATCGAAGGTGATGGTAAAACTCTCAAGAAAGACAAAAGGCGCATGGTTTTTAATAACAAAGGTTTTCAAGGTTCCAAAGTTAATAAAGATAAAAAGGTAACTAACATTTACTTACTAAAATCTTGTTAACTACTGTTATGTTTTCATTCTGTTTTAGAAATTCAAAGTGGATAAAGGAGCCCTGGATAAAAAACGAAAAATGAAGAAAGTAGCTCCTCATTAGTTAGATTAATTAACAAAAGGAAAATTTTGTTTTTATTGATGTTTACAAATAATTCTTGTTATTATTTCGAAAATAATAATTGTATAAAGAATAAAATTATACACCCTATAATGGATTTTTATTAATTAATATCAGCATCAAGCCTTGAAGCAAACAAAAGAGTCTTGTAGTCCGTTCCTGTTTATTTTACCATAACAATTCTTGTGATGTTGATCTCCAGCTAGCATATCACCTCTTTGGGGATCTTACTAGTCGTCTTTTTGTATTGGGTTTATGTCTTTTTGCCTATTTAGCGTGGGTTCATTCTGTCGACATAATCTCTCCATTCGCGACGTCGTACTGTGTCCATCTCATCATATCCTGGACTCCTTTTTCCATTAATGTATCCTCATTCGTTATTATATCTGAGGAAAGTTCCTCTTATAGTTTTTAATACTTTCATTTCTGTAGTTGCCATTAACCGTTTCGTAAGCGATATTTCAGCTCTTGTTTCCGTGCTAGTAATGGTCTTATACGTGCTTTATATATCCGGATTTTGCTCTCGGCATTCATATATACGAGATGTTGAAATCCAGAGTGGTACAAATCACAAAATTCCATTTTTGTCCAAATATCGGCAAAAGCTTCATTTTACAGGAATCTATTTTCACACAAAATATAAAATAATTATGTTTGCCACTTTACCTAGAGATGGCACAACTGGTATACTCATTTAACGAAATACTAATAGCATTAAAAGGCAGACACAATAGATATCCACGTATATACTATGAAAGGCAGAGGGTTATAAGTCAGTAGACGCGTGACATATACCACTGCGATAGAACCTTTTCCTGGTAGTGGGAGTGAATATGAACCCGACAGATTGGATAATTCGAAATCATCATTATCTTCAGGTACACATAGTTATTGCTTACATTTAACAAAATACAAACTTCTAAATTATTTTAGATGAGAAACAAAATATTTATCTGATGAGGCATCAGATTCGCAAAGTCAACATGAAAGTGGTAATAAAAGGAAACGCGTTGGTAAAAAGCGCTTTAGAGAACCCGAAAACATATCAAAGTAATTCGTAAGAGAAAGAGGAATACATGACGTTAATATCAGTGGCGCACCAGGGGGGTTTAACCCCCCCCCCCCGGGACCCTATTTCGACACTAATTTACAAATTTTAAGTACTTAAAATGGTGGAGGTAGCATAAAAAATTTTCGGTGCCCAACCAAAATCCCCCCCATAGGAAAATTCTAGGTGCGCTACTGGTGAATATTACAGTACACCTGGCAAAAGGTGCCACAAAAAGCATTTTACAATACAAATTGTAATTACAGAAACAATGTTTAAACAGAATTGTAATGAGCTGGAAAGAAACAGTATTTGAAAGCTTTTGGAAAACGGGCGATTTTTCTGCACAAAATCCATTTGTCTCTGGTTTAGTTAAAGAAAGTGTCATTGAACATCGATGTCCTCGAGATCAAAGTAAAAATAGTATTAGAATTACCACAAATATGTATTTTATAAATACTCACCTTAAGTATTTCACACAATGTTTGAAAACAGTACTTTTTGCAAACGTTTCAAATTTCAAATAGTCGACTAGAAAGAGTAATTCAATGTTCACGTTTTTCATTGATTGGAGAAGATTTGCGAGGTAGGCATAAATCAAGAAATAAAACTACCGAAAAACATGTACAATATTTACGTGAACATATTGGCAGTTTCCCCATGTACCAGCCCCATTACACCCGAAGTCATAATGCGAATAGAAAATACCTCGATGCCAGTCTGAACATAAGAATTATGTACAATCTTTATAAGAAAAAAGCTCAACAGAAAATATAAGTTCAGTATCGGAAGCAATGTACCGAAATATATTCCATCGTGATTTTAATCTACACTTTCATAGTCCATCTAAAGACACGTGTGTGAAGTATGATACATTTAAGGATGTAACCGTTTCAAAAGTTTTAGAAAATTCATTATTGTCACTCGTTTCGATTCCCTGCGAAAAATATATAGCATCCTCTTTTATCTCGTACAACGTCAAACCGTTAAGACGTGATTCTGTTTATTTGGTCTTTTATAGAGACCCTTATCGGTGAGGCTAGAGTATTGTTAAAATATGTCTATTGGCCCGAAATAATATAAGTATGGATTTGTACATGGTATTCTAAACTCAGCCCAGTAATTCTTTATGGTATGGTATAATGATCTTAAATGGACTAATACTCAATGGTTTCATCCAATCAACTACTTAGAGGCGAAAAATTTGAAAATGTCTCGCAAATTATTGAAGAAACTTCTAGAAAAAATGATAATAAATTCGAAAATGTTTCTAGAAACTTATTATTAAAGAAGTAGCTAGACAAAATGACGAGAAATTTGAACAAGTGTCTAGAACATTCGATAAGATACAGAAAAATGTAAACGACGTAGAAGAGAAGATCAAACAGCTAGAGAGCATGATAACTAATACGAAAGTGCTACCACCAGTTATTACAGTCGTTTTAGATTCTGTAGTCAAAGAAGAATCACCTAGAGACGAAACGACACATATGAGATTCAAATTGCCACCATTTGATGGAAAGTCTTCTCAGTCCATATATTTGGACAATTTGAAGCTATTGCGACAGCCAATCATTGGACAGAACAAGAAAAAGCTGTTTCCTTGACTGTTGCTTTACGAAGTGATATCCTAAGATCAGTTCCTAAGGGTCAAGAAAAATGATACCAGACCTGGTTTACTCGACTAGACAAACGTTACATAGATATCCATCTACAAAGTACAACTAAGAAGTAGAATTCAACGGGAAAGTGAAAATTTGCAAGAGCTTGAAGCAAATGTTACTCGTATAGTGCGGTTAGCTTATCCAGAGGCAACAGACAGCATTTTTGAAGAAATTGCTGTAGATATCTTCGTCAATGGGTTAAAAGACAATGAATTGCGGAAAGCTTTAAGACTAGCAAAACTTCACGGTGCTATCGAGTACGAAACTGTGAAGAGAGCGACGAACAAAGCGATAAACATCTGGAGAAAATAGTACGAAAAGTAGTTCGTAACACGATGCCGAAGAGACGCGAACCCAGATGTTGGAATGGTAACGACGTAGGTCACATTCGCTGCAGATTGTAAGAAAATAATACAACAGTCAGAAAGCTAGACCAGATCGAACACTGGGCGGGAAAAAGTCATTCAAATGCTGATACTCAAGACAGTGCAGTGCAAATTGTACTCAATGTCTTAAATTAGAAGGACGACTTTGCACCGTGACACAAACCACCGTCATTAATGATCAATGGCAATCTCAACAGCTAAAAGACGCCCAAGCAGATGATCCATGTATAAAAAGAGTATTGTATTGGATACGTCGAAGTGAGAGACCTACTTGGCAAGACATTAGTGCATGACCTTGTGTATATAACCTTTGAGAACCATGATGGTACATAATCTAAGCTTCAGTTGATTGTACCTAAAAGTAAAGTGTCAGAAGTATTGCGTCATTTGCATGACGGTACATCAGGTGGACACTTTGGTATTACGAAGACTCTGTAAAAGGTTCGAGAACAGTTCTATTTGGTGAACTGTAAAGATGATGTAAGACGATGGTGGCGGAAATATGAACAATCAGTAATGGTCCAGTTGGTAAAAAGAGGGCACCCATGAAACAGTACAATGTTGGTAGTCCTATGAAAAGAGTAGCAATCGACATTGCAGGTTCACTTCCAGAGACGAATGACGGAAATAAATATATCCTGGTGGCCATGGATTTTTTACGAAATGGGCTTGTTGAGAATGTAATACATTTATATTGTATACACAGATATATTGGTGTAAGAGTAAGCGGAACGCACCCATAGTGTCATGGGTTGACATGACAGACAATAATAGTAATGTCAATGAGTATCATGTAGTTGTAGGTAGTAGTAAGAAGTATGGTGGCTTAAGTTAGGTTAGTTAATTAGTATGTATGTTATAGGAAATAAAGCCTTTTATAATAGTAGTAAAGTACGACTATTTATTTTCCAAATCCACACCTTAACATGGTAGCAGAGGTCCGTGGTTGGAAAGTCGTACCTTTTACAACAGAAAAAGTTTGGTGCAGTTTGAAAAAAAGTGTGACACATGATGGCAGGTAGTAGTGATTTTAGAATACCTATATTCGATGGGGAGAATTATAAAATGTGGAAAAAACGTCTTATGCTATTTTTGAAAATGAAGAAGTGTGATGTTGTGGTAACCAGACCGAAAAATGAAAATGATGATACAAATTGGGATGACGATGATGTAAAAGCAATGAATTATATATGCGGTGCAATATCGGATCGACAGATGGAGTACATCGACGAAAAAACTACGGCGTATGAGATGATAAAGAAATTTGATAATTTATATTTGAAAGAATCAACGGCATTGCAGATAGTATGTAGAAATAACTTGGAAAGATTAAAATTGAACAACTATGGAGACTGTGCAACATTTTTTAGTGACTTCGAAAAAGCTATAAACGAGTTAAAAAGCGCGGGTGCTAGTGTGTCTGAAAAGGAAAAATTGAACTATATGTTAAACACGTTGCCAGAGTCGTACAGTTATATTGGTGATTTAATAGATACATTAAAAGAAGATGATCAAACTGCAGACTACGTAAAAACTAAGGTTATGATGTCCGAATTAAAAAATCAAAACAATGATTTTGGAAGAAAATCCAGTACATTTGTGGTAAATAAAGGTCGACAGGATCGATCATGCTTCCAGTGTGGCGAAGTTGGTCATTTCAAGCGAGATTGCAAAAATGGCGCCAATCAAGCGTCGGGTAATGGCGGACAAACGACAAGCAGTAGAGGCTGGTGGAGAGAAACGCGAGGTCGACAAGAAGCCGGAAGAGGAAGCTACGTCAGAGGACGTGGCCACTCACGTGGACAGCGCGGAACGCATGGAACAAGTGCACAGCGGTTCAACCGACAAGGACAGAAGAACGAAGAGCGAAACAGTGCTTCTTGGCTTACAACAGTAGCTCTTGGTAAGGATATGTCAGTTATTGCACAAAATACTGAAATAGGTAATGTAAATAATTGTATTGAAATAAAATGGCTTTTAGATAGTGGTTGTACAGACCACATTATTAATGATGAAAAATTATTTGATAAATGTAAATTACTTAAAGATCCCATTAATGTTTATTTAGGAGATAATAGGGTTGTAAAAGCTACTAAAATTGGAAATGTTTTAAGTTACTTTGATGCTTTTGGTAAAAAGAGTTTAGTAGATATGCAAAATGTTTTCTATGTTAAAGATATGAAATCAAATTTGATAAGTTATAGCAAAATAACAGAAAATAATAAGATTATTTCTCTAGGTAATATTTCAAAAGTTTTTGATAAACTTGGTAATATAACAGCAGTTGCTTTAAAAAATAATGGCTTATATATTATGAAAAGTAAATTAAAATCAGTTGAATTGCATGTAAATGTTGCAAATAAAGATATGAATAATATGAATCAAAAGGAAAAATGGCATCGTTTATTAGGTCATGTAAATTTTAAATATTTGAATATTTTATCTAAAGATCAGCTGTTGAATGGAATTCCTAATGAGTTTGAATCTGAATTTATGAAATGTAAGATTTGTATTGAAAGTAAAATGCATAATATTCCGTTTGTAAACAGTAGAAAAAAAGCTAAAGATATTTTAGAGATTGTACATACTGATGTTTGTGGGCCTTTTCGAACTACTGGGTTTAAAGGTGAAAATTATTTTGTTTCTTTCATTGATGATTATAGTAAGATTTCTAAAGTATATGCTATAAAATCAAAAGCAGAAGTATGTGATTGTTTGAATGAATATACGAATGAAAGTGAAAATTTGACTGGAAAGAAAATAAAGATTTTAAGATGTGATAATGGGAAAGAATATTTGAACAGTAAAGTCTACAGATTTGCAAAAGAAAGGGGTATAGTAATTGATAATTGTCCTACATATGTACATGAATTGAATGGGACTGCAGAACGGTTTAATCGAACTATAATGGATATGTCAAGATGTTTGTTGGCTGAAGCAGATATTCATAAAAAATATTGGCCTGAAATAGTTTGTGCTGCGGTTTATTTGAAAAATCGTACTTTATCTGATACAATTGAAAAGAAAACTCCATATGAAATATTTTTTGGACAGAAACCTGATGTTTCTAATTTGCGTTTGTATGGAAGTAAAGTTTTTGTACGAAGACCAGAACAGAAGAGAATCTCTAAATGGGATAAGAAAGCTGATATGGGAATTTTAATTGGTTATAGTAATGTTGGTTATCGTGTATTATTAAATGGCAGAGTCATTGTTGCTAGACACGTGGATATTGTTGAAGAAAACGTTAAGTGTATAGGTTTAGACTTTAACGAATCAGATAATGATAATAATGAAGAGTGTTACCCTGATAAAATTGATGAAAGCTCTGAAAATGACTCAATAGATGAAACTTTTGAAAGTACAAATGAAAGTATGGATGATAGTGTGAATAAAAATGAACCTGAGTTACCTAGATCTCACAGAGCCAAAAATCCTCCAAAGAAATTTGATGACTACTATGTATATAATAGTAGTATTTTTGTAAATATGTGTAGAACTGATATACCACATACATTTGAGGAGGCGATAAATTCTAATGAAAGTAAGTATTGGAAAACAGCTATGGACAAAGAAATTGATAGTTTAAATAAAAGTAAAACTTGGAAATTGGTTAAAAATGATACAAACAAAAATATTCTGGATGTTAAATGGGTTTATACTAAAAAGTCTGATAATACTTATAAAGCTAGATTGGTTGTACGAGGTTTTCAACAAACTGATGAAATTGATGATATTTATTCACCTGTGGCTAAAATGCAAACATTAAAGATTTTATTGTCATATTGTTGTCAAATGGGCCTAGTAATTGAACAAATGGATGTTGAAACAGCCTTTTTAAATGGTAAAGTAATTTCTGAAGTTTATATTAAACAACCTAAGGGTTATGAAGATGGAACAAGTAAAGTTTGTAAATTAGTTAAAGCTTTATATGGTTTAAAAGAAAGTCCAAGGGCATGGTATGAGTGCCTAGATACATTTTTGATAAATTTAGGTTTTGAAAGAAGTAATATTGATCCTTGTTTGTACGTTTATAAAATTGGAAATGATATTATTTACTTATTAATTTATGTCGATGATTTATTGATTTGTGGTAGAAATTTAAATGAAATTAAAAGGATTAAAATTTTATTATCAGAAAAATTTAAAATGAAAGATATTGGTGAAATTAAAGAATATCTTGGTATTACTGTTGATTATGATTCTAGTAAACATGAAATGAGATTGGATCAAAATAAATATATTGAATTATTAAGGAAAAAATATAATTTAGAAAAAGGTAAACTGTATAATACACCTATGGAAGTAAATTTAAAAATTGATAAATCTGATCATTGTGAAAGAAATATTAAATATAAAAATTTAATTGGTGCACTATTATACATAAGTTCGGCAACAAGGCCTGATATAAGTTTCAGCGTAAATTATCTGAGTAGATTTCAAAATTGCTATAATGAAACGCACTTTAAATATGCTGTACGAATTTTGAAATATTTATGCTTAACTAAAGATTTAAAATTGTTTTATAACAGAAATGAAAAAGTAAGTATTATTGATTGTTATGTGGATGCCGATTGGGCAGGTGATCATTTAGATAGAAAGTCTACAACTGGTTTTGTAATAAGATTGTTTGGTAATGTAATTTATTGGAAATCTAGAAAACAAAAAAGCGTTACAAAAGCTTCAACTTTTGCAGAGTATGTAGCATTGTCAGAAGCAGTAAGTGAATTGATATTTGTAAAAGAATTGTTGAAAATATTTGATATTGAAATAATAAAGCCAATTGATGTTTATGAAGATAACACTGGTACAATTAGTATAGCTAATTATGGCAATTTTACAAAAAATTCTAAGCATGTTGAAATTCATTATCATTATGTAAATGATTATGTTAAAGCAAATGTTATAAATGTGGTTAAAGTAGATTCTGATGATAATATTGCAGATATTTTTACGAAGTCCTTGGGCCAAGATAAATTTGAAAAATTTCGAAGTATGTTAAATTTGAATTAATGTAAATACAATGTAAATGTAAGGAGGCGTGTTGAGAATGTAATACATTTATATTGTATACACAGATATATTGGTGTAAGAGTAAGCGGAACGCACCCATAGTGTCATGGGTTGACATGACAGACAATAATAGTAATGTCAATGAGTATCATGTAGTTGTAGGTAGTAGTAAGAAGTATGGTGGCTTAAGTTAGGTTAGTTAATTAGTATGTATGTTATAGGAAATAAAGCCTTTTATAATAGTAGTAAAGTACGACTATTTATTTTCCAAATCCACACCTTAACAGGGCTGAGACCTATGCGATACCAAATCAAGAAGCTGCTACCTTTGCGGAGGTACTTGTTAAAGAATTCTTTAGTCGATTTGGTGTTCCCGTGGAGATCCACTCCGACCAAGGGCTCCACTTCAAGTCAACCCATATCCAACACGTTTGTAAATTTATTGGTGTCAATAAGACCAGAGCGACACCTCTGCATCTTCAATCAGATGGAATGGCCGAGAGGATGAACCGAACGATGGGTACTCATTAACACCTGTCCAAAGTTGTATCAGAACAAAGAGATTGGGTCCAGCACATTCATTTATTCTTAATGACCTACCGCTCGGCCGTAAATGAAACTACAGGCCAGACTCCAACCTGCCTGATGTTAGGTCGTGAAGTTCGTTTGCGCTGCGACCTATAGTTTGGCTGCAGACTTTCCGAAAAACACGTTGCAAGCGAAGATTATGTCGATCGTCTGAAGTTAAGAATGAACAACATTCATGAACTTGCCCGACAACACATCCAGTTGGCCAGTGACAGAATGAAAGATCAATATGATTCTCGATGCAAGAATAAAAGCTATGAAGTAGGTGATCTTGTTTGGTTTTATAATCCAAAACATCGTCGAGGCTTGTCTCCTAAACTACAAAGACAATGTGAGGGTCTGTATGAAATTAAAAAGAGAATACATGACGTAGGTTAGGTTAGGTTACCTAATATACCGAATTAAGAAGTTGCCGAAAGGTAAACCAAAAGTAATTCATATAAATCGTCTTGCACCTTATGCTGGATCAAATGAAACAAAGGAAGCACGAACCCTTCAACACGAGATCAAAGATGACCGGCGACCAAGCTTTAATAAATTTATTTCAAATTACGCAGAGAGAAAGAATGCTAGATTCGGCGTGACCACAGAAGTTCAGCAGGATCTTTTTAGTGTTCCGCATAACGTCTCTCTAGCCCACTGCTCTCTATGAGTAAAGTCCTTTACTACAGATACGTTGCTAACCTCACCTGTACCACTGCAGGTTCCAAGGCCTTGTCCGGGCTTGGGAGCAGTGCAACCTCCTGAGCTACAGGTGAGGAAATAAACGTGTTCTTTAACATGATCACGGGCAAGATAAAAGAAAGCATAAATGAATCGTGAAAAAATGACTGAACCGGTCATTCGTTTCGTCTTTAACATTCTGTAACATAGCGGGAGTTATTTCTTTATTTCTTGTCTAATTCGGTCTTGTAGTCGACGGATATTATCAGGTCTGTTTGTGTAGACTTCAGATCTAAAATAACTCATAAAAAGAAATCTAATTGGTTCAAATCAGGTGATCTAGGAGGCCATTCCACCAGTCCCCTTCTTCCTATCCACCGTTGTGGAAAAGTTCTGTTTAAAAATTCATGCATCATTGGCTATAAAACAGAAAACCAAGATTTGAGTATCCTGTGCTATGCGGATGATGACCTCCAGATACTACTACTACAGTAACTAATAGATTTTAAGTTAGTAAAAAAATTTATTGGGAAAAAAATCATTTCTAAATACATTAAGTTCTGCAGTAAAATAATTAAAACATGAGAATCAAAAATAAAAATGAAAAACTGAAAATAGTATTAGTTCAACTTCAAGGATATAAAAATAATCAAATATGAAATTACTTGATTGAAATTTAAGCCAAATTAAAATATTCAAGTATATAATGATAAGCTAAATCTTAAAGTTTCATGTTTTGACATTTTATAGATAATATGCATAATGAGCTGAACTATATGGCGTCTAGAGTGTTAGATAAGTATTGCTGTGAAATGCAGTCTATAAAGTTTATAAGAAATATTAGAATTAGTGTAATACACAATCAATATAAGTAACTATATTTATTTGAAACAACTTCAATATTATGCAAAAAAAAAACAGTCTGGCAAAATAAACCAAAGTAAAATGCTGGGCCACCAATATCTTAAAGCAACTTTTAGTGTATTTGACATGATATATCTCTAAAGGTGTGTGTTTATAAAACACAATATTAAAAGTATGCTAGATACAAAATTACCAGATAGCAGATAGCCCAAAGGAATTGCTCAATTTCTAATAAAAAAAAATAAATGTTTCAAATAACCAAGTACTGATGATTTCTTTGAAGGAGTAAAATTTTTTTGGAAATACTCAGTGATAATATGAAATAAAACCATTTATTAAAGATTTTGAAGATCACCAACATAATACGAGTGTTGAAACAAGATGCTCAACTAAGGTCCACATTAATTGAGTTAATGATGATGTTCATAACTCTTTACATATCAAAAGCACAGAAAATAAAAATCACTGAAATAAAACAAAAAATAGCAATGTCAACTGTCATTACTATACTGTAGAAGTATTGTTTTAAAGCGAAACAATGAGATATCCAGCTAGAGAAAACAAAATGGTATTTTATTATCACCAATTCTAGAGAACTAACTTAGATGACTTCTAACATATGAATAGTTTAGTGCCAATACCATGTATAATCAAATATAGGTATTTAAGTGTCTTACTGAACTCTTTCACTATACAGGTTGGCAACAGTGAAATGAATTGCAAACTGATTTACTAATAAAGATACATTTTATTACTTCTCTATCAAAATGCAATGAACTTCCTTAAATGTAGTTGCAGGGTAGTTTTTTTCCAGGTAGTATTTGAAAATGATGAGTTACTCACACAAAATCATCTATACAATAAAAGTAATTATTCAAACTTTACAGAAACTATTTAAATATATGATACAATCAACTTTGGCAGTCAACATTGTTTTTTCTTCTGATATCCTTGCAGCATTTCAATTGTCATCTAATTATTATTACTAATGAAGTACAAATAAATAAATAAAAAAACTAGCAACTGCATTTTACAGCTAAGTAATTAACAACCCCCATTTTTTAGAATAAATAATTTAACAGTCTAAGAAATTAGCAGCCATCAATAATTCTAGTGCAATTTCTGGAGCAATAGGAAATTCAGGTATCTCTGTGGAGCTGTTTGTGTAACGAACTTTGTAGGTAAAGTACATGCAGACCTTTTGTAGTACATGGGATCTGAAACAAAATTCACATATTAGGAAATTGGAAACCTTGGTGTAATTCAGTATTACTGTTATATTTTAACAATGTCCATAATGACCTGTGGTCCCGATATTAAATATTTTGTAAGGTTATGTTGCTCCTATTTAAATATTTGTTTATTGAAAGGTCTTACATCCCCAACATATCCTTATTGAAATTGTGCCACCTCTCTGCGAGATAATTCTTGAAGGAAAAATCCTAGTCTTGAGATAATTCTTAAAGGAAAAGTCCTAGTCTTAAAACTTGGTATACAGGATCTTCTTGGTGGTATGTTCAAGAACTTTATCAGGTCTTTCAGGTTTGTTTAACTGTTTTTCAAGTCACTTTAAGTATATTCCAGAATCAGATAATAATGAGAAGCTTTAGGTGATATAACCATATTGGTAACATACCGATCAACAGCTTATAAAGACATTATTATAGTGTAGCAAGTAGTATTAAAGTGTTTCCTACACAGTAAATGTTTAATGTTGGCAGATGGCTTAAAATTCTGGAGAGTTCTGTACAGTTTAAAGGACCAGACTTTGTTGTAAAATGAGTAAATCAACTACATCATTGATACCATAAGGATAGGTATACTCTAAAGCTAAAGAATATGGTAATATTTTCTTCAAAAATTTCATGAAATTGAAAAAAAACCCAATTTAAATAAACAACTATTGAATTATATTTTCTCCATTAGGGATTTGGGTATTATTCTGGATGAAAAGCTTTCTATTGTTGAACAAATTAATACCATATCTACAAAGGCATTTAAACTTCTGGTATTTGTCACCAGAAATTTTAAATACTTTTTATTGAAGCTTCTAGACTAGAATACTGCCTCTTGGTAAGAGCTCTTTTGGAATATTTCTCTGTTGTTTGGTGCCCATATTTCCAGATTCAAATTGACAATATTAAAAAAATGCACCATCAAGGTAAGACAACATAATCTTAATGTCTGATATAAAGCACTATATAATTATCATCATGTTTTTAAAATACTTTTGAATGGATTTTCGTGAAATTTTGACAGTAGGTAGAAAATAGCTCAAAGATCAATATCTACTCTATGTCAATAGATTTCCTCTGGGGTGGTCACAACCCCAACTCGGGGATGGAAAAAGTTTATAAAAAACCATAGTTATCGCTACAGTGAACAGTGAATTTGAAGACAAAAACGTTTTTTTCAAAAAGTTAATATTTTTGTAGTTATTGGTGACTGAAAGTTCACAAACTACACATACCAAAAATGTTTTTAAACAGTTTTTGTGAATAACTCTGAAAATTCTAAATTTTATCAGGAACACTGTTTGGATATAATATGAAGCTTATAAAACAAAGATATTTGTTTTTTATTATAACTGTAAATTTAATATTAACAAAGTTATAGTTGCTGAAAGTAGATATATTCATCGAATACAAAATCCAAACATATGATGTTGAATAGCTTATAGGAATTTTTTAAAGATCTTAAAAAACTTTAAAATAACCACTGGTAAAAGTGATTTTCATGAAAATTAAGGTAAGTTATAACTAAAATAAAGTCCACTTATATTTTTTGACGCAGAAAGTAACAAACCCATCCCCGCCAAAACCATCCTGGTTGCAACTATTTGTTGTTCATTTACATTCTGATCATTACATTCTGAACTGGTTTAAAACATTTAATTTTGAATAATCTGAGTTTAAAGTAAAGACATTAATTATGGAAATTCTCTTCTTTTTTTCTATTCTATAAAAAATTCTATTTTTTTTCAAAATAATTTAATAAACTGAAAAATATACAGAGAAATACTACTATAAAAAAAGTTTTTTACTAAAGATTTAGATTTTTTTTTTATTTATGTACACTAAAATTAAAGAAGATATGATTTTAGTTGTATTTCCATGCATTTAGCACCATCTTCAAGCCTTTTCAGTGCAACCCTTTTTAAAACAAAGGGCTTAAAAAAATATCTGGTTTAATTTTTAGTCTACAGAATTAAAAAAAAAAAAAAATAAAATCTTCAGTAAAATCCGTTGACATTATATCATTTTTCTGTATCTTTTCTAGTTGAGTTATTTTGAAAAAAAGGGGATTTTTTGAGAAAATCAGGAAATAGTTTCTTCAATTTAAACCCGGATTCAAAGAAAATTCAATTCTGACGCAAATTCCCTCTAGTATAGTTTAAACAGGATCCTATTGTGTTATCCCGTGGGAACTTTATTGCTAAAATGTAAAACCCATTTTTTTTGGTTTTTAATATCTTTGTAAGGCAAAATCACTTGGTCGTCCAAAAATCGTAGTGGGAGGGGGGTGGTGGGGAGCCTTACAAAAAAAAATGCAATTATTTTTTTTCATCGTTTTTCGGATGTACAATATCCGAACATTTATTCATCAAATTTGCATACCCATCTGGACATTAGAAATAGTCTTATTTTATTTATAAAAATACGTCAAACCATTGTTGTATATGGAGCGCCTTCATACAAAATCACTTGTTCTGAAAACCCATATTTTTAAAATCTTTTACCTCGCTCTACCTCGAAAAATATTGGGTTTAGCAAAAAATTACTTTCTATAAACATTATAGACCAAAAATCAAAGAACACGTGGGTTTTTTTAGAATTTCGATTGGATACTTAGTTTAAGAAAAAATTAAATAAATCGAACGGCATGTCACAACGGACAGTGCTGAACGCCGAGATGCGAGGAAGAGCGAGATTTCTAATCTGAAGTCAAAGCAAATCGACTCTAGTGATGGCGATGTTGTTAGGGTCGATTTTACATTGAAACGCTGTTGTGTTGTATATTCTATTGCGAAAGTGCATCATTGTGCATTATTTTATACTAATAGCGCGAAATCCACTGAGCTGAGATTTTTTATATTAAAAGTTTTAAATTATTAAAAGTTATTAATTAGCTTATTGCTATAATAAAAATATTAAATATCTACTTAATATTAAAGTAAATATTTTTTTCATCTAGAAACGGATTTAACGAAAAGCAGCAGGTCTGACAGTGAACTTGAGTCAAAAATCAGATTAAGGCATGTTTTTTTCCATAAAGTCCATTTCCTTTTCAGTTTGTTGAAGGACGCGGAAACTGGAGAATACATTTTTGTTCTAGTTTTCGAAAAATGCATCCTTACTTCTTTGCATTTGGCCATGTGAACTATTCTTTTTGGGGAATATTATATTTGTTGGACATGTACAAATTTGCTGATAAATATCCAGAATTTCATGAAGACTTTATTAGAGGAAATTTTGTTGTGAAAAGTTTGAACAGAAACTTGTACCAACTATTTGTAGATATAGCTTTAAACATATAAATACAAACTCAAAAGATGTAGGAGAAATCGTGTGATTTACTAAAACCAGCACCAAACTAGACGAATGATTTTTAAGCTATAATATGATTGGCATGATGGTAGATGAATTTCGTGCATCATGAGACCCAAGCAACCACTCAAGGCAAAACGTAGAAAGTAGAAAAAAACGGATGAAAATTGATGAATATTCTGTACAAAAACTACATGGTCAGTTTTTACGATTTAATGTATTTTTAAAAAGCGTAGATCGTCTTCTCGTAATTTCAGCTAATGAGATTGCATCGCCAAATGTTCAAACATCCTCACTAAATATACAAAAAAAAAATGAAAAAGAGAGCCTAGCGAAATGTATTGTTACTGTTGGAACTCCCAATTTTTATCAGCATAGAAAAGAGAATAATCTTCCAAGACTTCGTCGCGCAGGTACCTATAAAACTGTCTCTGAAAATAAGAAAATTATTCAAGATGAGCAAGAATTTTTACAAAAAATACTAGCAACCAAGGCAATTGAAAGAGACATAAATATTATGAGGATATTTTCAAATATGAATTGACAGCATATCCAATGTCACTTGTACCAGCAGGAGTTTTATCGATACCATAAAATAAATCTGCCTTAGGTTCTATAATAGAACAGTTTACAGTTGTTACAAAATCACAAAACGTGTCACATTTTTGATGGTATGGGATTGATTCAAGTAGTTGGCAAACCATCAAATACCAAAACATTTGACGACTATGCAAGAATTTTGAAATCAATAGTGTTCAAGAACCCCTACAACGTTAAAAGGATCGATTTTGTTTTGGATCACTACAAGGAATCTTCCATAAAAAACTGCACGAGACAAAAGAGAGGCGCCAAAATTAAATCAACACAACGGTTAATTAAAGGTCCGGATACAGTATTACCTCAAAAATGGAATTCATTTATTAATTGAGTTTTTAATAAAAACCAGCTTGCACACTTCGTAAGCAATCAGCTAGTTAAATATTCCTTAACAAATTGTACCGCTCACTTCGTATCCAGCAGAGGATTTTGCGACGTTTTACATTACAAAACAAATTTTGGTTTGAATTCTGAAATATTAGTCTCATCACATAAAGAGGCAGATACCAGAATAATATTACACATTCTGTCAGCAAAAATGGAGGGATATACAAAATGTATAGTCGACTGTAAAGTTACCGATGTGCCCATTTTAAAGACCTTTCAACTCCAGAAGTTTAGATAAGGGTTGGAACAAAGGACAACGAAATATTTATAGGTATCCACGAACTCTCTATGGATTACTCCCTAAGGAAATGTTGACCAGCCTTTCATATTGGAAGGTATTTCTATTAAATTATAGTCTCCTATCTAGAGTGGGAAGTGAAGAATATTTGAGCAAAGATGTTTTCGATGATATGATATTGTTAAATCTGTTATTCTTCTTTATACACCTAACGACTATTAAGTGTATTAATATTCTAAGAGGTATTTTGGCCACTACGAAACCTATTCATAAACTGCCTCCTACTTTAGACAGTCTGAGGCAACACTGCCTTCGTATACACTTCCAGACGAAAATATGGCTATGTAGTGCGACACCAAGACCATGTCTGCCAAATCCGTTGCTAAGTGGTTGGAGTAAACAAAATGGAGAGCTGGTACCAGTTTTAAACACGGAACCCATGTTGACGAAAGATACATATATTCTGAATAGTTGTAAATTTAAAAAAAGGTGAATCAACTTTTGCCTTTTTATGTGAAGAATAATTATATTAGCTTTTTTTTAATAATTTTCAGACTGTACAGGGCCCAATGTTCGTGTAAAAGGAAGCAGATCAAATGCATTGGTTCTTGTAAATGTGTGGCCCAGGCGAAATGTGGCAATAAAGGTAATATACGTAAAACAATTTTAACCGTAGAAGATTTTAGTTCTGAGAATACTGAAGAGTCTGACTTAGAATAAGATAATTTATGCCAATCATATTGTAGCTTAAAAACCATTTGTCTAGTTTTGTGCTGGTTTTAGTATATCACACGATTTCTCCTGCATCTTTTGAGTTTGTATTTATATGTTTAAAGCTATATCTACAAATAGTTGGTACAAGTTTCTGTTCAAACTTTTCACAACAAAATTTCCTCTAATAAAGTCTTCATGAAATTCTGGATATTTATCAGCAAATTTGTACATGTCCAACAAATATAATATTCCCCAAAAAGAATAGTTCACATGGCCAAATGCAAAGAAGTAAGGATGCATTTTTCAAAAACTAGAACAAAAATGTATTCTCCAGTTTCCGCGTCCTTCAACAAACTGAAAAGGAAATGGACTTTATGGAAAAAAACATGCCTTAATCTGATTTTTGACTCAAGTTCACTGTCAGACCTGCTGCTTTTCGTTAAATCCGTTTCTAGATGAAAAAAATATTTACTTTAATATTAAGTAGATATTTAATATTTTTATTATAGCAATAAGCTAATTAATAACTTTTAATAATTTAAAACTTTTAATATAAAAAATCTCAGCTCAGTGGATTTCGCGCTATTAGTATAAAATAATGCACAATGATGCACTTTCGCAATAGAATATACAACACAACAGCGTTTCAATGTAAAATCGACCCTAACAACATCGCCATCACTAGAGTCGATTTGCTTTGACTTCAGATTAGAAATCTCGCTCTTCCTCGCATCTCGGCGTTCAGCACTGTCCGTTGTGACATGCCGTTCGATTTATTTAATTTTTTCTTAAACTAAGTATCCAATCGAAATTCTAAAAAAACCCACGTGTTCTTTGATTTTTGGTCTATAATGTTTATAGAAAGTAATTTTTTGCTAAACCCAATATTTTTCGAGGTAGAGCGAGGTAAAAGATTTTAAAAATATGGGTTTTCAGAACAAGTGATTTTGTATGAAGGCGCTCCATATACAACAATGGTTTGACGTATTTTTATAAATAAAATAAGACTATTTCTAATGTCTAGATCAACATACAAATTTGAGGAATGAATTTTCGGTTATCGTAGATCCGAAAAATGACGAAAAAAAAAATTACCACTTTTTTTTGTAAGGCTCCCCACCACTCCCCTCCCGCTACGATTTTTGGACGACCAAGTGATTTTGCATTAGAAAGATATTAGAAACGAAAAAAAATAGGTTTTACATTTTAGCAACAAAGTGCCCACCAAAATCTATTCTAGAAGCCTTTTGCCAGTCTATTTACTCTACTACTCAGGAAACCATACAGTTTTCACATATTTTACTCTCATCTTTCAGTACTCTCAAAGGCATAATAAATAAAATCGTAGTTGAAGTTTGTCAGAAATCCAACCATCTACTACATTCATTTTCATCAGTACTTCATCCCTATTAGAGTGTATCCAATATATACTTTGCCATAGTGATTGACCATATTTTTCCAGAGAGAAATGTTATATTCAGATATAGGTTATAACAGTTCAAGCAAGCTTGTTTTATCAAATATTTTATATATATATATATATATATATATATATATATATATATATATATATATATATATATATATATATATATATATATATATATATATATATATATATATATATATATATATATATATATATATATATATATATACGCACATATACACTTTTTAAGTGCTATTTAAAATTTTCTTTCACTGTGAATATTATTTTCACTTTATATTCTTATAGCTTTTACTGTTAATAAAAATAAACAAATATTTCATATTTTCTCGCCATTTTGATTGCAAACCCATTGTAATATATATTATTTTCAATTAACAGGTAGAAATAATTTCATTCATTTTTTTTATTTAATCATTATTGAATTAGGGGACATATTTGATAAAATGTCCCTTGAATTTTCTCGAAAACCAACATACATCACAGCATTAGAAGTCAAAAGTTGTTGAAGGTTAAGGATAAATTTTATGCCAAGTAAATTTTTTTTTGTACAATTCTTAGAACAAATGAATATAAGTTTGAAGTAACCAAATTGTAATAGTTCAAGACCAAATCAGATTGGACATTTGGTATATATTAATATATCATTAATAGATTAGATTACAATGTAAAAAATTCACATGTAAGATATTGTAACAAGCTACCTTAACTCTATATGATTATTTCCACAAAAAACATGAATAAAATATTTGTATAGGCTGAAATGCAGAGTACATAAATACTGGGCTAATAAAAGCCAAGTTAGAAAATACATCAGTTTGTATGTTTTAAGAAATTCATAGCATAAATACCACTTGTACACATGAAACAGACAAAGAATTCTGTGTATAAAAGCGGTCAATTAGATCTCAAACGTCTCAGTTATCTTTCAAATGTACAGCTAAAGTAGTAGTATCGCAATTATTGTTCTACTACTTCATACTTACGGGATTTCTCTAAAGTTAACTTCATTTGCTTCATTTTCGGCAAACTGCCCAGGGCCACTTAACATGGCTTTGATAGTGCCAGATGTAAGAGCGTGTTCTCTTTTAACTATAAATTCATGACCGTCTGATGAAATTAATTTTACATACATAGCATCAGGTCCTTCGCATCCTCCATAAACTCTTTCTTGATTTATTTCTGTGGTACTGTCTGCCATTTTGATTTTAATTGCACTATTTCGTTGTTTGAATGTTTATTTTATATACCGTAAAGTGTAATTATTTTAATCGATATAGCGTGTGATGAAATAAGCCTTGTAGATTATTGAAAACAATGCTAATCTCAAAGACGACGATGGAGGTCGTTTGAGAAAAACTAACCTAACCACCTGTCACTGTCAAATATGACAACGATCAGCTTCAGAACTTCAACCTTCAACTTCAACTGTTCTTGTTCACACAAAACATCGCATTGATACCAATGCCACAGAATAATAAACAAACAGAAGGGCCACTCTCAGATGCCGCCTTTGAAGTTTTTCAGCACGCGCGCCATGTTTTAGGAGGACACAGACAAATGATTTGTGTGGTTATGTAATTGTTTATATTTATGTTTAATTATATTATATTTATGTTATTATATTTAACAATGTTAATATAATTGTATTGTATGTCTTTGATTGCCGTAAGTCAAATAAACCTGGTTAATTTTTCCATGCACACCACATAAACAACACTAATTTCTTTAAAATCCTCCTAAAACATGGCCGAACGTCTGCGCGGAGGAGATGCGCGTACTTAATTTTCCGTGGAGAGTGGGTATTCTGTTTGTTTATTATTCTGTGCCAATGCCACAGAATAATAAACAATCAGAATGCCCACTCTCAGATGCCGCCTTTGAAGTTTTTCAGCACGCGCGCCATGTTTTAGAAGGAAACACATAACACAGACATATGATTTGTGAGGTTATGTAATTGTTTATATCAGAGATATGTAAGAGAGATATTTATGTTTAATTATATTATATTTATGTTATTATATTTAACAATGTTAATATAATTGTATCCTATGTCTATGATTGCCGTAAGTCAATTAAACCGGGTTAATTTTTCTATGCACACCACATAAACAACACTGGTTCCCTCTAAAACATGGCGGAAAGTCTGCGCGAAGGAGATGCGCGTGCTTAATTTTCCGTGGAGAGTGGGCATTCTGTTTGTTTATTATTCTGTGCCAATGCATTGACCACAGGACACAGGGCATATATAAATTTATTAGTTGTTCTGTGGTCTTGACTGTGTCACAGAATAAATAACACTGTGTCACAGTTTATGCATTTAAAAATTCACAACACAAAAAATGAAATTCTATAGATTATTGAGGACGTTCCTTTTTATTAAACTTGAGGAAATTATATTGTAAATACACACAATTATCACAACTATGTATTTGTAACACAAACATAACACTAACGATTCATGAAATTATGCAAAATTAAAATAAACCGGTAACAAGAACCTCCGGAGTTATAGCAAAGAATATGAATGCCCACTCTGCTTGAAAAAATAAGTACGCGCATCTCGTTCGCGTAGACGAAATCAGCCATGGATTAAATGGAACCAGTGCTGTTCAGTGACATTTTATCCGATGTGCCTAAAAAATTAACCCGGTTTAATTTATTTACGGCCCCTAGACATAATATGCACTATTTTATTTATACTTTTAATTGAAGAATAGAGTAAATTATTTCAAATGTACTCAATTATTAATCTCTAAAAATTTAAATTACAGTTCTGTCGTAGCTTGTCACAAATTTCTAGTCTATGTTTCCGTTTAAAATATATATTTATAATATATTATAATATATTAATATTCTTTGGTATAGATTAGCAGAACATATACTTCACTTACAGGTCCATAAGAGAAAAAGATACCAGCATCAGTTTGTCGCAGGGTGTTCCGCAGAGTTCAGTACTAGGTCCCATCCTGTGGAATGTCCTGTACGACGGGGTGTTGAGGCTACAGATGCCAAGGGGATGCACTCTTGTAGCTTATGCCGATGATCTCGCACTGGTTGCGAAGGCGAGTCAGAACACGGACATGGCTAATACAGCCTTGCGTCGCATTAGTAGGTGGATCAGAGAGGACGATCTACAGCTAGCACCTCAGAAAACTGAGGTGTTAGTTCTCAAAGGTGGACGGTGTGGAGGTTGCACTGGTTAAATCAATTAAATATCTGGGAGTCTGGTTGACGGAAGGTCTAAGGTTCGGAGTACACATCCAAAAGACAGTAGAGAAGGCGAACAGAAATCTGGAAGCGTTGATACGGTTGATGCCAAATATTGGAGGCCCAGGAAGCACCAAAAGAAAGGTGCTAAATGGAGTTTTCCAGTCGGTAGTAACCTACGCTGCCCCTGTGTGGTGTAGTGTACTAACCACTGCGAAATACGCTAAGCTGATGAAGACTTCGCAAAGACGAATGCTCCTCAGGGTGTCTAGTGCATATAGGACAGTCTCGAATGAGGCTCTATATGTCATTGGAGCGGTGTGATACCGATCGTTTTGTTTTGTAAAGAGCGAGCGAGGATGTATGTTAGTAGGATGGATGTAAATATACATGCGAATGAGACAGAAAGAACAATAGAGTGGTAGAGTGAATGGGCGAATGATAGTGGAAAGGCAAGGTGGACGAAGGACCGGACATGGTAGTTTTGGCACCTTCACAAATAGAGTAGGCAAATCTACCTCGGCAGACTGTACTGTTTATGGGGTACCGGACACAGACTGCCAGAGATGGGCAAATGACATGGGAGATTTCGAGAGGCGAATGGGTTTCGGGCTGGATGAAAGAAACATTGTAAACATAATGTTGAGGGGAGAGAAAGAATGGGGAGAAGTACACTGTCTGATTTCTGGGGTGATCAAGAAAAAGGAGCAAGAGAACAGAGGAGGAAATTAGGCTAGGGATCTAAAAATTTATAGTTAATATTATTTATTAGTTTATGGCCTAACATTTAAATATTTTCTGATTTACGGTAATAGGTATAGTTTTTTATAAATTTTTAGTTTTTTATTTTAGTTGTTTATTGAGTGGCAAGATCACCTCTCTGGTACGGTGGTTAAGGTTTAAGCCGGAACATGGTTAATCCGGCACTACCCTGGGGGTGCCTGGGGTCTTCTGGCTTAGTATCCTACTCGGCCGAAAGATGCCAGGGTGTCTTGTTCCGTGACGTAGATATCCAAAAAAGATTTCCCCCATCGTTGCCTGTTAGAATTTAATGGATACTTTCTTAGACTCTTACTGGAATACGGCAATACAGCAATTAATAAAAAAGATTAGCAGAACCAGAAATTTTTCAAATTCTAATTTTACTGATGCTTCAACGTGCTTTGGAGTATATGTAAAGCCGTTGGTCCAAGCTACGTAAGTAGTTGTTAAAACTAAAACATACGTCAGAAGGTTACATGAATAGAAGATGTATAATAAGCCAATTGACTGCAGTACAACTCGTTGTAACAACAAACGGCTTCCGAAAAAATCTAGATTATAAAAGAGCAACGTTGTATCCTTTTTAGACGGTTTTAAAACGATTCACAAACTACAAGTGTATATAAAATTTGATACAAATCATATAAATTTATGAGTTACTGTACCTAAGCCTAAGAATTGAAAGCTTTCCTAGAAGAACTCGAGAATTTTACTACAAAGTAATACTTGTCACTCAAAAATTAAAAAAACTTTTATGGGATCCTTTTCTCCGAGCAGAAATATTTCAACTGATAGGAAGGGCATTTAAAGGAAGGACTACTTTGAAACAGTACATGTCAATGTAAGCCATAAAGATGGGTATAAAAATGTGGGCAATAGTATGTGCTGAAACAGGTTAACTCATCAATTTTGAGCTATATCAAGGTAGAGAACCTGAACGGACTGACGAACATACTCTAGGGGAAAGAGTTATACTGAATTTAATTAAAGTGTTGGAAAAAAGGGGGACTCTGCTTGTTCTTTGATAATTTTTTTACCATGCTTCCTTTTATGAAGTTATCCGAACTAGATCATTTTGATTGTGGACAGTAGGACAAACACGAAAATATTTTCCAAAAACACATTTAGTAGATGACAGAAAAATGAAAATGGATGAAATTGATGAAGTTGTCTGCAATGATATTACTACATAAAGTAAGTGGAAGGATCATGGCTCAAAATCTGTGACCGTATGCAGCAATATGCATAATCATGAAGAAACATCCGTTGTACTTAAGCCATTGTAGACTACAATATGTATATGGGCGGTGTTGATCGGTTTGACCAACGAATACAGACATACTCAGTACCTTGGAAATGGCGTCGATGGTGAATAAGGTTGTTTTATTAACTTTTTGATGCATCCATAGTAAATTCTTACATACTTTATAAATAATCCCTTAGGCAAAGTAACAGTAGAAAAAAAAAGCAATATTTCACGTTGAATATAGATCCAAATTGGCTACCAGTCTTATAAAAGATTTTTCTGTGAGAAAAAAAAAACATTAAACTGGAGTATTTTCAAAATGTTGGTCATTTGCCGCAAAACCACGCGAAGACGATGCCAGCAGTGCTCAAAAACGGGATTACAGAAATGCAGTGATATATAGTGCGTAGACTGTAAAGTGGCTTTGTGCTTGGATTGTTTTAACCATATTATTCAAATGCCTGAACTATTATTTTTATTATGTATTATATTCTTGTTTGTCCATTAAAATATTGTGCAGTATTTTTGTATTATTTAAAGTCCTATACCTATTAAATACACTTTTTCTAAACTTTGGTAAAACTGTTGAGCAGCATTTTTTCATAGAAAAAACAAAAATATATTCAAAATCTAGTAACTGATATACTAACTATAGTATTCCAATCGATTATATGAAAAATCTTTGAAAACCGTTCATCATAATAAACTTTCGCCTTAAAGGGTTAAAAACTTTATCTTTTCTTCCTAAAAGTCTGTTTTTGAAGTTATACTTCTATAAGCGTGTTCGACGTTGGAAATTTGTACAGGAGTGAACCGGCAAAATCATAACATATGTAAGATGTAGGTAAGAGAGAGACAGAAGATACATTTCTCTTTCTCTCTCAGGAATAAAAATATTCCTTTTGTAAATATATTTAATATTTATTATTATTATTATTATTAATATTTTTTTATTAAGATCATTATCATGGTAAATTAAATATATGCGTAAGTAAGGTATGAATATTGCATTTTAATTTGTATTGTATTATTATATTGAATTATGTTGCAGTGTATTGTATTGTATTTTTATATTAATAACAAACAAACAATGAATTTTACTGCAGAGCATGTGTAAAAAATATTGATTCAATCCTTTATTTACTATACTCCTATTACAGGTCAAATGTTGTTTATATACAGAAAACGATGCATCATATACCTATATACCTAATTATGTTTCTCTTTCTGCTCTCTCTTACCTACAGCATTACATATGTAATGATTGTGCAGATTGACTCCCATATAAATTTGTAACGGCGAACGCGTGTTTAGAAGTATTTCTAACGACAGTCCCACTGGACCGCCACATCCGTTTTTTGTTTCTCTACGACACGACATGTTTTGTCTTTATTGATAACTCATCAGAACCAGAATCGAAGACAGACTGAAATAGAGAAAGGCAAATATTTAGTCCAACTTCTCACTTGACAAAAATCTTTTGATTTATATGACAGAAAATAGACATCACTATGTGTTTTCTAATTATGTAGAGCCTAGTGAAATATTTTAAAATAACTCTATCTTCCAGAAACAAAACTTGTTTCAAAAAGTTAATCGTCAATGTGATATAACGTTTCATATCCTCTTATGAATTTACTGTAAAACAACTTCTATCATTGGTCCTTTATCTGCTTGAATAATAAAAACTGTACTATTTTAAAATGGATATAAAATTAAGAAAGACACCTTTATCTGTTTTATTACAATTTATTACAATTAAAAACAATCTTTTGGTTATTAATTTACTGTTATAAAAGTTTCACGATCTATAATCTTATACTTATTTTCCCTAAAATGAATGAGATTATCATAAAGCTGCTGTACACTGTAGTCTCGTAATTTTACTAATACTGGATTGATTGGTTTAGTATCAGCAACGCTAGCCAAATCGTCATAATATTCCTGCTGATATTCTCCCATACAATGAGCTTGCTTTTTCTGAATTCCTTTTGCCCATCTTCGTTGCATGTCTTTATTAGTATCTTCTCTCATTTCTTCTGCACTTGGAAGAGACAGTGAACCATTTAGAAATTTGCAGAAGTATCTTGCCTAAAAAACTCAATTAAGTAAATATATAACAAGGAAATTAAAACGATTCTGTTTTTAAAAATTCAATAGTTTTATGTTTGGTTTTTGGATTGGATTGGTTTTTGGATTGGAAAAAAGTGTATAACATATAATATTTATACAGGGTTTACCTGTATAAAAGGGTGGACCCTTTTGAGTGACTAACCCTGTATAAATATTGCTTGTTCCTTCATTTAGTAATTTAAAATAAATTAAATTTCAATTGTATTTTATTTTTCATTACTTTTCTTCAAATAAAGGTTACATCTTAAAACTTCTTAACTTACTTTATATACACTAGATATAAATTTTTCATCTCTGGTCTTAAACGGTTGCTGCATTGGATGAACACATCAAGAGTTTATTTACAAAGCCAGATATGACTTGGAAACAAAGACATTTGTCCAGTTGATTGGGAATGGTGCAAAATTGAAGAGTCTTTGTTTCCAACTAAAAATCCTAATCCACCTGCACCAGAAGAATTGTTAAAAATGATTTTTTGCAACTACAAAAAATGGTGCGGTGCTTTTTTGCGGGTGTCGAATGGGGTTATTTTGTAATACAGTCTGCGGATTATGCAGTGGAAACAATTGTCAAAATAGCCCTCCAATTAATTAAAAAGGAGAAATTGGCGAAGAGAGCTCTGATGAAGAGTGAAAAATTAACAATTAAAGTACTATTAATATTTGATTAATTTATGAAACATTACTTAAATAAAAGATGAACGAACTTTTCATATAAGTATATACGTTTTGCTCTTAACCAACAAATTAAATTTTTATAAATAAGTCACATAAGCACTGAAAAAATTGTTCAGGAAATGTGGAAAGAATAATATTAATATATTTTGGAATATATCAATAAAGTAAATCATAACCAATAAAAAGTTTCTAAATAATTAAAGCTAATAAAACAACATTTTCCATTATTTTTATGACCAGGGGTAGTTGTTAAGGGTGCAAAATTACGAAATAAATAAATACTTTAATACTCAGTAAATGAGATTTCAATTCAGTAATGTATTATTCAAATAATTAAAGTTTCTTGAAATTAATTTTTTCAATAATTCTGCTTTAAGGGGGTAGGTTTTAAGGGTTGAAATTTCACAGTCAATCAAAAATTATGAACATTAAAGAAAATATTTGGGTAATATTAATATATGCGATTTGATATTTCAGAAATATAAAAAATTATTTTTTCAGAATTTTAGATTTAAGGGATAGTTGCTAAAAGGGTTAAAAAATTAATTAAAATCATAAATCATGCTTATAAATGTTGCAAAATATTTATTGAGCGCAAGCTTAAAAAGCGCAAGTTGAGCATATGTTACTTTTGAAGTTGAGGGTAAAATTTACTCAATCCCAAATTTTCATTCAAATCGAAGGAAGTTCACCAAAATAAGAGGTTGTAGTTGATTTTACCTTCATTCACTGTACTAACTAGTTAAAAAAACGATTGAAAACCGATAAAAAACGATTGAATTGAGAATTAATTTCAAAATGAAGATGAAAATCAGTCGATTTCTATTATTTTTAATGATTTTCTTAAGGTATTATAATATGTATATGTACCTATATACAAAATTAAACAGTATTATTCTTTTTTTACTGTTACATTATACTTTTTTAAGGTATTAAAATATGTATATGTACTTCTTCTTCTTCTTTCATTTTATGGCCTCCACCTCTTAGGTACGTGGCCAGCTCATGTATATATTTTTATTTCAATTATAGAAGGGAATTCTCCTCACAGAGATTCTGAAAATAACCATATTCCCTTCAACTATTTTGGACAATTTATAGTGGATATTCTAAAATAATTCTATATGTCATTAATGATATAGATTTTTCTTGTTCCATCTATTAAGCTATGTAAGGTATATCTGGAATTTGGCATCTTGGATGTATATACCTCTAAAAACTTCAGTTTTTAGAGGTTGACAGATAAACTATTTAGAATATGGCGTATTCTCACAGCAATTTGGATTACGAAAAAGCCCTTCGTTTCACTTCTTGTTCTTCTTCATGTACCATGTCCTTTCAGAACGTTGGTTACCATCATAGCTATTTTAATTTTATTCACTGCCACCCTAAATAGCATGCTTGTATCTACACCATACCAATCTCGCAAGTTCTTCAACCATGAGGTTCTTCTTCGTCCTGGACTGCGTTTGCCTGCTATTTTTCCTTGCATGATATTTTGTAGCAATCTATATTTGGGACCTCTCATTACATGTCCGAAATATTCCAGCTTTCTCTGCTTGATGCTTTTTATGATCTCAGTAGTCTTGCTGAGACGTTCAAGTATTGTGGAGTTACGAATCTTCTCCACCCAGGAAACTTTTAAAATTCTTCTATAGCACCACATTTCGAAAGCCTCAAGGCGATTTAGATCGATTTTATTCACAGTCCAGGACTCGACAGCATAAAGTAAGACCGAGAACACGTAGCAGCGAAGTAGGCGGATCCTTAATGCCAATTTTAGGTCTCTGTTACATAACACCTTGGACATCCTTCTAAAAGCAGCTCTAGCCTGCTCTATTCTGGATCTAATTTCGCCGTGATTTTCTGCATTACAATTTAATTGCTGTCCAAGGTAGACGATTTTATCAACTTGCTCAAGTTTGGTATTATTTACATATATAAACGGTTTTATATTCTGTTGTTTTCTGTTGGGTGGTGTATTCTGTGATTGTACTTTCATATTGTCGATGATGACGTTTTTCTCTGACGTTTTATTTGTCATTATAGCTAGGTTGTATTAAAACCGTTTTAGTTTTATATCAGGAGCCAAGGAGCCAAATTGTATTATACAAACAAGCCTTTTGTGCTTGAATCATGCTATAAAAATATTAATGAAAGACTTGACAATAAAGGGACACAATTTGAAAAAAATTCTTAAATCATTTAAAATAGGCAGATTGAATTGAGTTTGAACAATAAGGAATCTTAATGGACTTAGGATGAGGTGTGGATGATGATGCTAATGTTGAGTATTATGGAAATATTTACCTGTAAATCAAACATATGGAATGTACAGACAGTAAAAGGAATTCCAATGAAACACATCGTAGGCATTTTTAAATTTATCATATGTTTATATAAAGGCTGTATAAAGTTATCGTCTACTGTTATTCCACAAGACTCATGGAGAAATGGGAAACTGTACTTGTAACCTGTACAAAGAATTATCGCATCGACACAACAACAAGAGTCGTCAACAAATTCAATTGTACCATCATCTGTTATGCGTTTTATATCTGGTTTGTGTTCAACGTTGACGGGGAAAATGGTCTTTGCTGCCTTACTGGAGTGATGACTAAAATAAACCTAAAAAATGCAATATGTAATACTATATGATACAACATTCTTTCAGTCATGAATTATGAAAACTTTGTGAAACCTTTTTTTATGTATTTCCTCAATGCGGGTTATTTTTAATACTAATTTAAACCAACTTATGTATGTCTCCTTGGGTATTCAACATGTACACTGTGGTGTAATAGTGACCACATAATAAGTTAATCATAAAAAAATAATAGTGAATATTACGTCTATGATTGCCGTAAATAAATTAAACCGGATTAATGTTTCTATGCACACAAGGTAAAATTTCACTGAAAAGCACTGGTTCCGTTTAAAAGAGGGCTGATTCCGTCTACGCGAACGAGATGCGTGTAGTTATCTTGACAAGCAGTGTACGTTGCTTTAACAAGGAACTCGCTTTCCTTGTTTAAGGTAAGTTGTCACTGAAACTTACTGGCACATTTTTATATATTGTTTGGTTTTCTTGTCCAATCTTTGACACATATCATGGGAGCTACTCCAACAAAATTGGAACCAAGGGTTACCACACTACTACCTACCCATTTAGTTAAAACAACACCAGAATCTCCACAAATGAAATTTTGTCATAAAGCCTCCTTCTAACTTTTCATAAGTTTCATGACGCTCCGTGAAAAGTGGTTTGGAAAAACGATCTTTTCGAATTGTTCCAGCTGCATAATTTTTTTGAAAAGCCACTGAAATAGCTAGTAAGAACTGAAGTAATTATCAAAAAAAGAAGTTTAATATGTAATGGCATCTTTTCTAATAACTGCGTAACAACACCAGGTCCTTGACCCAACAAAACGTAGGGCTCCGAAAATGTGTTCAGTTCAGATATGTTTGTTGCTGGAAAAGTTGGTACGAAATTCTGAACAGCATACAAATTTGTTTTTTTGCACAGAACTCTAGCAACTCATTTCTGAAATATTTGTGACAAAAATCTTAGGGAGACAGCAAATTTATCACCTGCAAACTACGACTGGAAAAACCGAATTGTAAATGGCATTTCATAAATTCCTTTTATTCACTTCATATTCTTTTTCTGTGAGATCCTGAGAATTCATATACTCCGTCGCAAATTTCCAATGGTATTTATGCCACAAACAGCTGTCACGTTACCACTTCTTTCTGCCATCTTCACCACTCGACGGTTACCTCTTGGGGATAATATTTTAAGATCCTTGGTAGGTACTGAAGAAAAACCGGTTTCATCAGTATTGAAAATTTGAGTAGCACAATATGAATATTTTTGATGGAGTTCTTTGTATACCTTAAAGAAAGTTTCCATATTAACCTTAGTAAAAGCCATTAATCTAGCAGCAAAAGTTGCTTCTGGTTTACGGGGTGGTAGATTAAATTTCTTCGTTAAGGATTGTACAAAATCATTACCAATCATTTTCTTCGTAGTGATAAATAAACACCACAATAAACAGCAATTTTTTCTTAACTGATCCTTGATTAATCCAAATGCCCGTCTATCTAAATCTATCACATATTTATTAAATTGATTTTAATTAAATGGCTTTAAACCATTATTAAATGATGGTTTAAAACGACCAGCATTTTCAGGAAAATTCTAAAATATAAAAATGTATTTTTATAAATTTTTAAAAAATTTTAAAATAAATGTATATCTAGATAGCCCATATAACTGTAGTAGTCTAGACGGGATCTCTTTTGGATTGGACATTTTTCATAGGAAGCTATTTTTTGATGGAATCCCTTCAGAATGTGCCCAATATCAATAATCACGATATGCGCCAGTCGCAAATCCTGTGCTAAATTTTTTATTTAACAAAATCTGAAAACAATTGAAAATTTCTCATTTTTTTGCTCCTATTTTCATTTATCATTCGGAAAATATTGATCCTAGAGAAACAATTATACGAAGTTAAAAGTTACATAATTCAATTTTACACAATATTTCATTAGCTAGAAATTGAAAATTTAATGTTTATTGTTGAAAAAATAGCAATAATTGGAAAAAAAGTACAAAAAATGAAGTTAATCCTTTAAATGTTTTTGACTTTCTAAACTTGACTTACAAGCTCCATATTCCGCCTAGAAAAACTTTTTAATATGTTTAAAACGTGTGCTAAATTTTGTTAAGATCGATCGGATAAGTTTTGCATAATAATTGTGCAATTCAGCCTACTGGAAAAAAATCGCAAATTTTCAAATTTATAGTAGGCCCTAAATAAGGCCCTCAGATAGTTGCAATTTTTTTTACGTATAAAGGAAGGCTCAAACTTTCAAACGCTTTTTGTAAAATTCAAATCGGTTCACTAGGAGAGCCTAGAAATTTTTTTAAAGTTTTAAACATTTTTTATGCTTATAAAAAAATTGAATATCTTTACGAGCTTTAAACATATCATTTTCGAATCAAAATATATTCTCAAATCAAATAATGTCATTATTATAATAAAACTGCAGAAATTAATTATTTTTTATTAATTCCAGCAAAAAAATAGCTTCCTATGGAAAATGTCCATTATGGTCTGAATTTTTACAGATCCCGCCTAGTCTATAGTAGCAGTTACTCTTTAAAAAAATTTAAAGTTGGTCCAAAATACAGATTAAGGATCTTAAGGTGCCTATATTACCTGCACATACCTTATACACTAATTTTTCAAAATAATAATTTAATAAAGGAATCCTTCATAAACACATACTGGAATATTAGCCATTCTTTAGTTTTTAAAACGACAGCATACGATTGACTTACACATTTCGATCTAATTGGCCTAAATTGAATAATGAAGCATGTACAAGGAACCAACGGACCGATTATATATAAAAGTATTTACGAAGGAGAGATGGACAGAGATGGTCATGTTGTAATAGCTTTTTTGGTTATTAATAAAATATTACCTTTTCAGCATATTTAGATACTTGTAAAGTTAAATCCAGCCCGGATGGTCCTGCGCCAACAAGAAGCACATTCTTTCCTTCAAAGTTCTGGGCAGATCTAAAAGTATGACTATGAACTATAATACCGGAAAAGTGTTCTTGTCCTTCGAATTTGGGCCAAAAAGGTTGGTTGTAATGACCGTTACATACCATTATTGAATCGTATGTAAGAGTATGGTACTCTTTTGAAGGTTTGTGAATGTATGTAAGTTGCCATTTTTTTTCTTTAAGTGGACGTACATCTGTTACCATACAGTTAAACTGAAAAAATAGAAAACTTTTAATTAATACTAAACGTCAATTTGCACAATTATTCATATTTACAGTGTATATCAGCCAAATTTAATATTTGATTACAAATAAATGGGGAATGCTAGAAATTATGTTCGGACATGTCGATTCGTAGAGACTTGCTAACAAAATGGACAGGTTTCAGACAGGGACAGGACAGGACAGTTTCCATCTAGTCCGAAGTGCAAATTCGCGTTAACCTTGCGCAGCTACGTCACTTGCAGCGTAGTATTCACATTGCTCTTAATTGAATACATAAGCACTTACTATAAACTTAGTCACCCTAGATATGGATATTCTGCATATTATTTTACGTTCTTTATACAATAAAAACAACTGTTTATCATGTTTTCTCAGTCAAAGATATTTAATTTTTATGCGAATTAGAACTAATAAGGTATTAGTACAAAAAAATAGCTACTTATTTAGGAACCTACATACTTGCACTTTTCATAAACTTTTAAGAAGGAACAACATTTTTATATTATATATAATTGATGAATATATACTTAAATTTAAATACTTAAAACAACCGTCCCTTAGAGAAGTCCGATGCCAATTTTCAAAATAAATATTACGACCGTGTTAAGATTCTTGCTAAATAACTATATATAAAACAATTTTTAAAAAAATTACGTTTAAAAATATAAAACTATATACATTATGCGATAGTTTTTTGTATGCTTCTTTTATTAGTAGGTGCTAAAATAATTTTTTTATTAAAATCTTTTGTACAGATGTACATACGCGACCGAAAAATATTTTCTTAGCATCTTGAGGACAATCAATATTAACACTTGCGGGCAACAGACTTGAAATATATTGCTTGCCAGTAAATATGGTATCTCCATTAAAATTTTGAAAATTTTGCTCTAGTTTTTCCAAATGAACCATAAATTCGTTAAAGGGTTTACATACTCCACCCTCTGTCAAATGATTGGTCCAGGTGTAAGACGTCGAACTTTGGTTAGTTAAATTTGGTAACTTTAATTTAGCGTTTAAGCTTGCTACAAATAAATCCTCCTAAATGTTCTAGTCCATCATATCCTGACCTAGATCATCAAGTTCTTCATAGAGGAGTATGGTATATTCATCCGTGGGATTGGTGTCAATGATTGTTTTTTTAAGCAAGCTTTTCTACCATACTACCGCTTATAATAGGAGTACCATCTCTTCTACATTACAGTAATCTGAAAAAGTACCTTTGTTTTTTCGCATTAAATAAGAACGCAGTCGGTATTTAAAATCTAAAAAAGTTGGATGATCGTTCAAACCACCTTTTGCTCTTATGACCCCAAAAAAAGTCTCCAAGGGATTTTGGCCGTTCCTTGCGTTTCTGGGCATACCTAAGTTCCAATGTAAAAGTTTATATCAAATAACGCAAAAACTATGGCAGATATTGAGATGATTCTTTTTTTATATGAAAGGTCTTAAAAAGTTCTAGTGCACTATTTAGTTGTAAATTAATAAATTGTTTAAACAATATTTTTTTTTCAAATATTTTTGGTTAAAATAAACGTAAAAATTTTTTTTTTGAAATAGGGCACTACAGAATTTGACCCACTTTCTGAATCTGTTTTTATTTTTAACATAAAGTGTAACACAAAGCAGCTATTTGGTATAAACTTTTTTTAAAATCTCAAATTTTGCTACATGTAACTTTCTCTCTCGGCCAGTACAGGCTGTCCTTGTCGATAGTTTCTGGATTCTCGTCGACACGGTTAGGTTGGTTAGGTAAGAAGTATAATACCCTCTCGAAGGTGGGTCATAAATAATGTTGAATAACATTATTAGGGTTTATTTCGACTTTTGACAAACCAGTGTGTTAATTGTTTTTAAAATGGGTAGTTCACGAAGAAGTTTATGTTCCGATTGAGGAAATTTTATATAAATAAGCAGTACCTATAATAAGTACCTATAATTTGATTAAATTTTTATATGAATAGAAATATTTTCTGTTAATTTGTAACATTTTCCTTCTAAATGTTTATACTGTTTTTATAATAATACTATTGTTTCAGTATTTGCTTATATAATAATTTATTATGTAGAAACAGCGTAGAATTTTGGTCAATCAGCCAGTATTTTTTTTTGTATTTCAATCAGAATTAATATTTTCTTTTCTTCTTTACATAAAAGCTTAGAGTAATACTCAAATATTTTGCAGTATTTGAATACGGAATTTGATTATTTATATTTATTGGACAATACCCAAATATTTTGCTGTATTTGAATATGGAATTTGATTATTTATATTTATAGGAATATTTATTTTCAACGTTTTTGTTAGTAAAGTTTACATAATATATGAAGTTTGTTTCTTCACTTGCTTGTCCAGCCATATTAGTCCAGGCTAATAAAGATTTTCTCGTGACACTCAATAATCCAGGTAGCTGACAACTTTTTTAGTTATTGTAGACCTATAAGAAGAAAACCTACCTGTTTCCTGCGTATAGTTCGGAGCCGTTTTTTAATGATTAACAATTAATGCAAAAAACGCGATTCTTTCGATCTTTGCACTCTATTATTTATTTATTTATTTTTACGCACAATAGGCCGTTAAGGCCTAAAGCATTTTTTTTACAACATAATTCTAATATTAACTAATTACAATTATTTTAAACAAAACTTTAACGTAAATATGTATATATAACATTCCTAATTACTCTGAAGGATCTGGTGTACAATATTTTTCCATTCGCTTCTATTTTGTCCTTTTTTTTCCATTCCCTCACCTTCACGTGTTTAAGGTCTTCCTCCGCTTTACTAATCCACCTCGTTCTGGGTCTACCTCTTCTTTTGGGGTCGATTAATTTTCTGGTTATTACTAGTTTAGGAATTCTGTTTGCTGCCATTCTTTCCACATGTCCCAACCATCTGATTCTTTGTGCCTTGACGAACTTGGTAATAGTAGGTTCTTTGTATAAAGCCATTAATTCATTGTTGGTTCTTCTTTCCCAACCATCTTCTGCCTTTCATCCTCTGAATATGCATCTCAATATTTTCCTTTCCCATCTTTCCAGAGTATCCTCTTCCTTCTTATTTAATGTCCAGGCTCACCGGCATATGTTACTGTGGGTCGAATTACTGTTTTATATATTCTGAGTTTACCTTGTCTAGAAACATATTTTGAGTTTAGTGGGGCTCTTAAACCACCTAATTTTTTATTCCCTTTTGCTATTCTGGCTACGAGCTCCCATTTATCTTTTCCATTTTCATCGAAAACTACACCTAGGTATTCAAATTTGTCCACCCTTTTAAAACTATAGCTTTTACCACTTACTGACCTCATACTAAAGTCTTCTTTTTTCCCTTCTGTTCCTTCTATGATCATATATTTAGTTTTGTCTTCATTTAGTTCCAATCCAAATTTCTGTGCTTCTTCGATGATTTTCTTCACAACTCTTCTTAATTCTTACTCGGTTTTTGCTAGGATCGTTAGATCATCAGCAAATGCCAAGCACTGGTGCTCATTTTTCATGATCGTTTCTTCCATCTTCATGCTGCATTTTCTGATTACAGTTTCTAATACTAATTTGGATAATGTAGTGGATAAAGGATCTCCCAGTCTCAAGCCTTTTTCAACCGTAAATTGATCTGATATGTGACCCTGCCAAGCAGGGTGCTAACAGGTGAAGATGCTAACAGAGTAATGCCTCTATAGTTCTTACAATCCAGTTAATCGTCCTTTTTATGCAACGTATATTATTTCATTTAACCACTCTTCTGGAACAAATTCATTTTGCCATATAAGTACTATTAGTTTATGGGTTACTGCAAAAAGCTGATCATCACCTTTTTTTATATATTTTCCAACAGATTTAATCGATTCCTGTGGCTTTATTGTCTTTGAATTTTAGGACGGCATTTGACACTTCTATTATTGTTGGGTGTTCACTGTGTAGTTGTCGATGTAGATTTTGTTGATTGTCTATGTTGTAACCTCTTTCAATATCGTTTATATCATATATTATATAAATATATATATATATATATATATATATATATATATATATATATATATATATATATGATATAATAATAATGTACTTATTCTTCTTCTTCAAGTTCCACTCCTATCGGAGATTGGAAATCATTCTGGCAATTATCATTTTGTTGGATATGCGCCTGAATAGTTCAGTTGAATTGCATCCAAACCATTCACGGAGATTACGTAACCACTAGATTTTACGTCTTGATGTGTGATGTATGATGTGCCCCAAGTATTCTAATTTCCTGATTTTTATGGAATCTAAAACTTCGCATTGTTTTCCTAGTTGTTCGAGAACTTGTTCGGTTGTTTTGCGATCCGTGACCAAGCTTGAATCCCATATAAAAGGGTAAAGAAAATATAACATCAAAGCATTCTTATCCGGAGCGATATATTGATATCTCGATTACAAAAAAGTTTTCTCGTTCTATTAAAAGTTGACCGTGCAATTCCAATGCGGCATCTTATTTCTTTTGTCTAATCAGTATCTTCTGTGATCCATGCTCCAAGGTATTTGTACAAAGATATTTGTTCAATTTTTGTATTATCTAGTACTAGCTTAACTTTGATGCTTTGTGCTTTTGTAAATACCATGAACTTGGTTTTCTTCAAATTTATTTTTAGTCCAAAAAATGTACCTATAATATGATATAATCCTTATAAAATGTCTTCCGACGTTCATTTTTCATTCAATTCGGTTGTTCCATTGTTCTTTAAGTTCTTTCGAGCTCATTAAGTTTCTTATTCCTTCCATCCGTGTTTTCTAAGGTAATCCTCTCTTCTGGATTACGGTAGGTGTTCATACATGTACTTGTTTTAGGAGTCTCTTGTCTTTCATTTATTGGACCTGTACCCATTTGAGCTGCTTTCGTTGTATGCCATCCATGACTGTACCTTCTATTCTCATACTTTATTGCATTAAGTTCGACGAGATATCTTTCTTCGATATTAATCTGTCTCTGTTAATCGTCGTGTTTCA